TAAGTTTCGTGCTAAAATTAATCTTGCTTAATTTTCTTTGTAAATAATAGTTATTTTAATCATTTCTAGCATTGACTGTTTTTATGCTATGTAGAAACACTTCAGTAAATTAACAGGTAAAACTTCAAGTACTACGAAAGCAAAATGTGAATAGAATTGTTCATACAATTAACGTGTTGTGTAGATGTTTTAAATTAGCCGATGCAAGTGCAATAAAGTTGCGATTATTACTCCTCATCATGCAACAGCGGGCTTGTAATACGCTGGAACAACCTTCTTTTACACCTAGAAAAGCTTTGTACCTGCAGCAACGAGCCAAACATTTAATAAAGTGATAAAACGCTTGCGCCGAACACGCGATGTTTTTATGATTCCATTTGGTTACCTTTTATTGCTTTTTTTCGTATGCCCATACTTTTAACCTTAATAAACTTGAAACTTCTGGGAATAAATAAATGTGTACCCGATTTTCTGATTGTATCGAGGGACAAAAGTTGAAAGAAACTAAATGAAAATGTAATGAGCTGAAATACTCTCATGTAATATATAGATTGGTAGAAAACTCAATTTATTTTTACTACTTTCGTATTACGTCTCGAAGGAGTTACTTATTCTTGAACTTTTCTTTTGTGAAATTTTATTTTTATTTTGTAAGTTTCGAATCGTTTTATTTGTGTATTATCTTAAAATCTAATGGCAGTTTAGGTAATACGTGTGAACGCTCGGGGCGTTTTCTTAAATTGCCTCTGAGCGAGACAGTTTTCTTTCTCATATATCTTAGGAATCCACCCTTAGCGGCGTTTCACTTTTTGGTTAATATCTACCTATTGCTTATTTTCCTCGTTCATAATGCCTCCAGGGATTCCGGTGGCTCACGTGATTTATGGCTTATGCAAAGAATGAGAGGATATTTTCTACACCATAATTCAGGCTAGTTGAGATTAGAGGCGGGTCTGTGTAGAGGATGATATATCAATCTGTTTGCTTCGCCTTTTTATGCCGTCGTATATTACGCGCTATTGTCAAATAAATAAAGAAATGTTGATACCACCGTACTTACCGGATTTATACGATACTAAACTTTGTTACCTATACCTCTCTCCCTCCTAATAGTAAATTTAAGAAATAATCAAACCAAATAAATGGTAAAGATATTAACAATATACACTCATCTAAATTATATTGATGCTTGCTCTTGTTGACCAAATACATAATAGTATAAACATTTATATTTTATTTGCCTATTTGTAATATATGTCTCCTTTCTGTAATATCTTGTAATCATTGTTATGATTGGAATTGATAAATATAGCAAAATACATAATGTTATTCCATTATAACAAGCTTTTAATTTGTTTTATACATATGTTATTTCGTTAGACTAGTTTCTAAGATTTTAGGTAATGGCAAAAGTGCACATAATTCCACAAATGTACACCCACTTTTAACGTGTTATTTTGTGAATCCTTTTGTGCATATTTATGAATCATATATTGTATCAAGTACCTACACTAAATATTGGAGACTTTTAGCAAAGCGTGGGACGAATTGGCCGGCTCTACCGGTATAACAACTGAGCCTTACCAGAATATCGGCGAGAAGTAACGCTTTTCTTTTGGTTTTTTTTAGTGAAAAATCATTAAATAGCTTCTCACGCCTAGGGTAGGGCAAGAGCCAGCCCTGTCAGACTCTTACTGACTAAACCGCTCCTGTTTCAGGCCGAAGCTGCGGTACCTTATTGCGCACCTGCGCTTCCGGCGGCCGGAGTCCGTCGCCCGATCCCCGAGAAGCAACGCTTGGATTGCGTTTCGCCGCGTGATTTAGGTTACTGGAATCTCATCTTCTCTCTCTTTTTTCTACTCCGCTCCGATCAGCAGTTCCTAAAATCTTTATCAAACTACATAATTGCAAGGCACTTTTAACTCTTACTGTATTGTTGGTTTCCACAGGCGGCGCTGATTGCTTACCATCAGGTGACAGGAGAGACTATCCCTTAAAAAAATACGAACAGCATATTGTTTTTTACGTAATATTTTCAGTTTTTCCATTTCCGAGCCTAGTATAACGGCATCGGTCAATAAAACAATCGGGCGGGCTTGTCGAAACATAAGTAAACAAGTCCCACTCATCAATCCAATCGCCTAATAGCTATCAGCAGTTGTCTGTACATTGTATAAACTAGCGGCTAGTGGCCAGTCCCACAATTGTCTATATCATTAAATTAAAAGCTTTCGTGTTTGAAGGCCATTAGTAATATTCGCGGCACCTAAAGCCCATCGCTACAAGGGCACGGTTGGCTAAACAGTTAACTAATTTATTATCCATAAATTCCGATCAAGAATTTGATAAGACACGTCCTCAGGGTTTTACGAGCTTAGCTTGCGCTTCATCTGTACTGTGAAAATGCTTGAATACCGATAGCTATTTTGGTATTCGTCTTGAACCTTCCCCTTTGTTAATTCTAGCTGAATGACTCACATCGTAAATCGATTCAGTATTATCGATAACCTATAAATTCATTTTCCTGATATCGTTAAATATTTCCGTTGGTGCCCATCATTTTCTTTTTATTCGATAGAACATTTTTTCTCGATAATGTCAACACTCGAGGATGTTTGCTCATATTTTTCTAGGACCACTTACGTCTCGAGAAGGGTTCGAAATAAACACATTATTACGGATTGCAGTCTCATTTTATTTTATGGTTTTGTATTTATTAAACTAAGATAGTTACATCAAACACACATTGCGTAACAAACTGGACTGGAAGATATGTACGAACCAGTGACAATATTGTACCTAAACTTAGGTTATTGCTGAAACCCTGACTGTTGTTCATTCGGATCTAAAATACTCTAATATATTTTATTCTTGTATGTTATTAAGTACATAATACTAAGTACAATAGAGGAATATACTCGTTCATCGCTATATCAAATTGATCCGAGTAAACAGCGGTAAGGTTGTTCTAAATATCATCTAAAAAGTGAATTGTGTCTTGTTTGACCACAAAGCATGTCTAACACGAAAAACGTAGCTCTAAATGCCGTTTTGATATATATATTTTAATATTGTCATTGTTTTAATTTAATTAGTATTAATTATAATACTTTACAAGTAGTTCGCTAGACGAAATGTAGAAAAACGAACTTAGCTTTTAGTTAAAGAGCGTAGTTTTGCGTTAGCATAACATCAAATGAAAAACTAAAATTTACCTTAGGTAATCGATTCTAGACTATGATACCAATTTTCTATACATAACATTACGTATGTAGTTACTTTAAAATGTACAGGCTTAGAAATAAAATTCGAAATTCGTTATTTATTAGTTCATAACATAACTAGCCTACAGCCGGCCTTATTTAGATACTTGATTTTGCAGCAAGAGTAATGTAAGTAAGTAATGCATGTTTCTTAAGGTTAGGAAGATCGATTACATATGTCAGGTGAATGTTCTAGAATATTCGAACAGAAATACAATGTTACTCTATGGAGATTAAGTCACAATTGCGGGTCAAGTGTGTTCAAAGTTTGTGTAAGGCTCGTGAGTCGTGACATTCATACCTACGTTGAGAACATTAGCCCTCGAGGGATTTGCTTAGAGCGTAGTTCGGATGAACTTACACAGTCACATACTTACTTGGAATTCATAATCTAGTAGAACGGACATTTCGTAACATTTATTACATACGTTGATAAAACAGTTAAGCGGCTTGTAAAAAAATTCTAGTCTATATTTATTATTTTATGTACATATATTACAAACGACAGTACTTAGATTAAAATACTAAAATAATCTCAGGTGATATTGGAATTGATATAAAGTAAACTTAAAAATAAACACAATGAATCACATACACCATTAAAATTATAAATATGTATTTCGATTGAGTTTGAAATAAAAATGCACTTAGAATGTATGGCACGGAAAATTCTAATGTCTATTAATTATAAGGCTGAATCATTTAATTGCAATTTGAATGACATTAATAATGTTTCTTTTATAAAATCCTAAATTAACATGTAATATATATTACTCATACCCTGGAAATAATGCGACATCAGTAAAAATCACTGCAGTGACAACACAAATATGCTAAAAATAAATACTATTATAATACCAAAGGAAATTACGAACACAACCTATTATTATTATTATGCTTCAAAACACTGAGTATATAAAAATCCCTAAATCAGCTACTGTACAATTACTATGGCACTGTTATTTATAAATAATTGCTAAATATACTTGACATTTATAAAAGGAATGGCAAAGTGGAATCAAAATGATAATCACATTATCAAATAAATAGAGTCAGAAAACGTTAGTCAAAATATTAATTTATGATTGCTTATAACATTATTTGTCATTGAGACAGGGAGCTGGAATGTCACCATTACAGCCCGATCATCATAATTCTCTACACGAATAAAGTTTTACAAACTTTTTATAATTTCTCACATGATATTTTGCTCTCACATATAATAGAAACTATGCTTAAGTTTTACCGACTAATCTATCAACTAGATTATATATTTCTGCTAATTTTAACAACAAAATATCAAGAGTCTTTTTTAATAATTCAGTACTTTCGCATAATAATTATTTCATTTTTTCATTATACCTCTGATGTGTAATCCGAGCACCGATTTAAAAAAGAGAATAATTGATATAGTAACTATTCGATCTACAACTAGAACATAACGTATTATGGCAACGCACTCTTTTGGTAAAATATATATAAATACTTCTGATTCGAGGTGATATGACACTTTCATCTCTTTAGAGATATTTTCATGGACTCTTCAAACAGCTGTTTAAATGAAATAATACGAACAAAATATTCAAACGGATATGTATCGGTAGGTACATTATTAGACAGGTACTTTAAAACACTATTCAACACAACAGTTACAAAATAATACTTTTTTAAATCTCACAATCCACTTGGCATTTTACGTTGAACGTCGTGCGGCGGTCGCACGACTTTGTCGTATCGTCAGTCGCAATGTCGTACTGCAGTCGTAGGTCGTATGGGTGCGCTGAGATCAATATGCCGTCCGTTTGCCTTCACGCTGGCGACACAGCCGCGGAGGCCCGTGTACAGGGCAGCGGGCAAACCCAGGGGTAGCGACGGAGAACCCCCTACATACACAATGAGTCAACTTAACAATTTTATATCAAAAGCCTATCACGAGATAAAATGTATAAAACAATTCATCGTTTTAATTCCTTCTGCATACAAACGTCCAATAATATTTGGTTTAACTGTTAACGTATTGGAAATAAATCAAAAGATAAAAAGGGCTTTTATCGGGAAATTACTATTGTGATAAATTAATTTGAGGATAAATGCGAATGGAATGAATTTAATGTAAAAGGATGTCCTGGTTTACTTACCTATCCACAACTTGGGGTTTGCTTTCGAGGGTACCAACAGTGACTGTGAATACCCCCTCACTGGCGGTTTGTCATCCACTTGCAGCATGGCCAACCTCTTCCTTCTTCGAACGGTGGCGGTGTGCCACCGACCGTCATCGACCCTGGCTTTGGACTCGATGCACTGGAACCAGTCCTCGTGTGTCGCCAAATTCATCTCCTTTATATCAGTGTCCGTGTAAATTAGCTGCAGTTTTCCGTCACTCAAACCTAGACCGATGAAGTCTCGAGGCCGTATACCGATTTTCCTTCTCCACATCAGGAGGCCAGAGTCGTTGTATGTTCGGAACTTTATTTCATATCTAATACCGCGGGAGCCGCTGTTCCTAAAATAGTTTGTATTATTTAATATTGTGTAACGTGTGTGTTGTCTTCATTGTTACTTGTTAATTTTATATTAGCCAAGTGAAAGATGAAGTTAGCATGCATGGCTTAAGTAAAAAAATACACATGACGTAAATAAAATACGTACAATGAGATGACGTTCAAAAGTAAATTGATCTTTAGTAAGTATTCGATACCTAGTATGTTAGTACTACATTTAAAACATTACAATCGAAAAGGTACTCCACCTCTATGCTAACCATTTTAACCACCCATTATAAAAACGTCAATTTCTTTATTTACTTAATTCTTTAGCTTCTATTCATACAGCCCAAAAGGAGATAATATATCAGAGTACTTGTAAGAGCTCCTTTTATATGTGCTACGGAATTAAAATCTCGCTTTTGCTACCTCGGCAAGTTCAATAGACCCATCAGTTGGAAAATTAGATTGCGATGAAAGACCTTATTTATTAGGGCACCCGTTTCGGGTCTCCAATTTAGGCAATTCAATATCGTAGGTCCAAATATACTTTGGTACTTATTTGACACTGCGGCTATGAAACTAGTTAAACCTATTACCTAATAAAGTCTATCGCTTCATGATAGAGCAAGTTCCCGCGTCTATTTGCCAATCTGTATGCTCCGTAGCTAGTCGGTAATTTTCGAGATTAGTCTAAAACTAGCTCGGAAGTTCCTAAATGGATTTTGGTTCAGTTTTCCCGTTTCATAACTAATCGTGGGAACAGAGACGCGCTCCTAATTACTTATCCTCTATGTATTTTTAGGAGCATGATAAGTACAAATATTCCTTTAGCCCAAAATATCCTTAAAAGCACGTTCGCTTTGTAGTTGCCGGGAAACAAATATTAGTTTAAGTACCTTTAAGAATATTTAGTAATGTGGGCGAGATATTAACAAGGAATCATTTGTTTACTTTCAAGTTAAATAAATGCTGACTTTAAGTAAGATCTAAAAATGGGCACAAAAGGTACCTACGTGAGTATCGTTTTGGCTGAACTAGGGAATCGTAAAAATAATTGATCATTAGTTTCACAAACATATTTTGGGATATTGTGAGCTACGCACAGCTACAAAAATACTTCAAGACATGAACAACTATAGAATAAGAAAAGTCCTGGTAATTTCAAGATGCAAATATGTACAAGAACAAATAAAGTAGGTGAGTAAGCACACAAAGACACTATCGTGAAGCAGTATTTACAACCTACGTTGTTACGTTAACGTGTTTATGTAAATACGTAAACTTCGGTGTAACTTATTTGACTTCCTGTGAATTTATACATTCGGAGCGGAGGCCAAGGAAGCTAGTTGAAGCACATTATTACAGCACTTTACTATCAACTCTGGACAAATAGGAATACGAAACTGCGCAAACTTTACTCAGAAAGTTCTTCGCAAAAGTTCAAGTAGTAATTCGAACAAAAGTTTTTTCAACATATTTGATAACCATGCAATATTAAATTGAACAAAAAAGCACCAACATTTAAGGCAATCAAAAAAATAATTCGATACTAACAAATGAATAAATAATATAATAAAAACTACACAAAGGAAAAGAATAAAAGCGACGCTAATATACTTAGTCGGGTCATAAGTTCTGTCACAAACTTTTGATGTAATAACTTATACGCCTTTTGACAATTATTTAAAAATTATATATGAAATGAAAGGTCATTAAATGTACAATATAATTTTATTTACATTATTCGAAATGCCCTCCCCCATTTTGAACACATGCCCTTAATCTACGCGGCCAGTCATCGATCGCTGCACGCACCACATTCATATCTATGTCTGCCGCTGCTTTAACCAGAGATGCTCGGAGAGACTCCAAATTCGGGTGAGGTTTAGCACAGACTTTTTCCTCCAAATATTGCCATATCTTGTAGTCCAGTGGGTTTAAATCTGGACTAGAAGAGGGCCAGTCTTCATGCCGGATGAAGTCAATTCCACGAGCGATCAACCAGTCTTGCGTACTTCGTGCCTTATGAGCCGGTGCAGAGTCCTGTTGGAATATCCAATGCCTGTTCCTGAACATTGTCTGAGAAAGAGGTTCCACTATGTTTGTTAGGACAGTATTTTGATAAACTTCGGCACTAGTTCTCACACCTTTTTCACAGAAAAACACCTCAGTTACGCCTGAATATGAGACTCCAAGCCAAACCATGAATGAGGAAGGGTAATGCCCACGCTGGACCCTCGCAATACGCGCGCTTGCTTCTTCACTGCTGTGGGCATACACCTTATCATTTTGTTTGTTAAAACTTTCTTCAATAGTAAAAATTTTTTCATCCGAAAAAAGAATTTCGCGGTATTTTTTTCCCGCGTACCGTCGTAGCAAAGCGCGGGATCTGTCTAGCCTAATTTTTTTTAAACGCTCGTTCAAAAAATGTCCTGTCTTTTTACGATAAGCTCGTAGTCCCAGGTCTTCATTTAGTACTCTTTTAACAGTGGTTCTGCTTAGCCCCATCTGCAGAGCTAGGATTTTTTGTTTACGTACGGGATTTCGTTCGATTCGCGCCTTCACTGCTTTGATGACCTTATGTGTCCGAACTGTGCGAGGTCGGCCGCTTCTCTTACGATCTTCGAAGCTTGACTCTTCGGTGTATCGTTTGATAGTACGATAAACAAACCGTAACGTTATTTTCAAATTTTGAAGAATATTGAAAATGTCTTTTGGCGCGTAACCACAGCGGTGCAACGCGATAACCGCGATTCTGTCTTCTTTATTCGACCACTCCATATTTAAAAATGAATAAAAAATAATTTCTTTTTTATTTTCTACAAGCGCGAAAGTTCTATTTTTAAAATAAGTCGAAGAATTTCTGGCCAGTAATCGAAAATTAAAAATATAAGGTTTTGACAGAACTTATGACCCGACTAAGTACATACAAACAAACGCTGGTATTAAGTGTCATTAAATTCAGCCAACTATTCAAATTATACTATAAGTGGAGAAATTTCCACGTGTCGCCATTAAGTATTCATGTTTCAGAAACCACGCGACTTCTAAATGTCCCCACTTTCACTAAGGCTACGCGGAAATATTAAATATAAGTTTATATATTTTACCTAAACTAACTGCTGTGACGTAAAACAACTAATATATTATTGTTGATTCCTTCAAATGTTATCTTACACCGTAGTGCCCCTTACCGACGTCTGTGTTAGTATGTAAGCTAAAAAGATAGAAAATTAGTATCAGTTACAATTAACATGAATTAGCATAAACATCGGGATATTGTTTGCCGATGACAGTTTTAGATATCGTGTCTTTCACAAATTAAAATAAAACCGAAGACATTATTAGTAGATTTAGCAATAAAACCCTTATAAAATAACGAATGTAAGTGAGTTAGACAAGAAAGTCGAGACAACCATATTCATAAACTGTAGAATTTATGACTCTGTATTATTATGACTGAGGTACGTTTTGTTAAGTACCACCAACTCTGCATATAGAGGGAGGGGGAATTTCTTCAAGATTATTTTCGGAGTGAATGGTATTGTATGCTCACCTGCGACTGCCCCTGCTTCTGTAGGAGAAGTAGTTGTTTCCATCGAAGTTGACTGGTGTCCTTTCGTTAAGCATTTCAACATTGATCTGTATCTCGCAATTCCTGCCTTGGTACCCATCTCGGCAAGTACATTTGTATTCATTGAGTAGGGGTATACATGTTCCATTGTTTTTGCATGGCGTTAAATCTAAAGGACGAATGAATAAGTCAGTTAATATAAAGAGAATCATGAATTTGCAGAGAAAAGTCCTACTAGTTTCAAGTCACAAACGGGACTCTTATAATGAATAGCCAGCTCATCATGGCAACGTCGTACCGCCGACTTTTCTCGGTAAATTCACATGAATAAGTTGTTTTTTTTTCAATAAATTTGAATAAGTATCAGGTTAGATACTATTCAAAAAAAGAAATTTGTCGGGTATATTTATAGTTCCATTATTATTATTAGGTAAAGTCAGCTATTGTCTGTAAAAAGTGTAAATGAAATTCCGCTTTTACTTTACTCTTTGCAAAAAAGTTACCCTCGGTTCGTGCTTACTTGTGCAAGCAAAGTAATAAAGTGAAACGAACAAGAACTCTTTAATAAATGTAAGTAAAGATACATTTAATAACATTCTGTAATTAATTACATGGAAAAATCTGTAATACGTACACAAGGAAGTAAATGAAGAGTACGTTTAATTAAAACAATGCTTCAGTATTCAGTAATACAAAATCGAAGTAAAAGGAAAAGTCAGGCATATAAATAACTTTGAATTGTACAATTCTCTCTTTGAAAAGGCGTAGGTGAAATGACGTTACACATTTTCAGTTCAGCGACTATCAGCGTGTTTATATCTGGTATAATAAGTCTTCTAATTTGACCTTCAATGTACAGTTTTAACGTACTTGAAACATACTCTTGTATGTATCTTGGATTCCATTTACCTATTACTGCATACATTGACTATAGATTGATCTATTCAAAATAACAATATCGAAGCTGTATTCACAAGACTTACCCTCTCCACACGGCGGTCCTGTGTACCTTGTGACCCCAGTAGTGGCACAAGGGAGACGATCTTCATCCTGCACTATCGCACACTTAGCCGTGTCAGCCCCATACAAAGACAAAGGTTTTCCATTCACAAAGACCTGTTGCACCGAGCCTATGAAACTGCTGGTCACGCCTGACATCTTGTGCGGACGAATATAAGAGCTGAGGAAAGAGATTTCGATTGAAATAATAGTCAGGATGAAACAGCACAACTTCGAAACTGTTTCCGCACACTTTTATTATATTTTTTGGCAAATTGCCTCGAAACGTGAAGTTGTTGTGATTATGAGTGTCATGTTTGCCTACAGATTTTACAAGCTTCTAGTATTAATACAGTTAAAAAAACTATATTATACCTACAACTACGCAACAAACATATTCTTCAAACAGATTTTATAAAACAAAGGTAAAAATGACAATTGCACTCACGGTAGAGATCCAATAAACAACGGTAGAGTTAGTTCCAAATGTGTCAAAGGAGGAAATGAGTGTCCTCTTTGTGTAGGATGTTGATCTAACTGCAGGCTACCATGCCGACCTGAACGAGACACTCGCGCTCGATGCCAACGACCCTTTGTTATCGGCACTGGCGACCTACATAAAGTAAAAAATAATGCGCTACAGATCATCAACGACCATTAAAAATATTCAACACGTTTAGCTTCCATGTAAAATAAATTTATCCGTAAATAAAACATGGTACTTACGTTATATTAGCAATACCGCTCCCCAAATTGTATCTAAACTGAAGGTAACCGTTAACCAGGTTAATCGCTATAAAATCCCCCTTGGCTTTATTAGACTGGCCAGTATATAGGAGCATTCCGGAAAATCGGTTCGTTAAAAACCAAATTTCAATGCGGAACGCTTTGCCCAGCCCTTCAAGTGGAGGCAATTCTATGTAGCTCGTCCCATTGAACTGAGGGGACCAGGTTTCTTGAACCACATTTACGTCTGTGAACAAATTGAGCATGGAATAGTTTCAACATAAAATTAGTTAAACATGATTATCTTAACGCAAAGCTGTATTGTTTGTTAGGGTGTGATAAATGCTCACCATTATTGCAAGTGTTTCCATTAGAGCCAATTTCACCTCCAAACAAACAACGGCAGACGTGTCCGCCGTCCGTCCCGATGTCACACAATAGCCCCTCATCATATCCGCAGGGATTCGACTCGCACGGATCTAATCTCTCGTCACAATTGGCTCCTTGAAATCCGATAGGGCAGCTACAAGTATATTCGGTCGCCGACCCGTCTATGGATTTACACGTGCCACCATTCTTGCATGGCATACTCATACATGGGTTGGATTGGCACTCCTGGACGTTTTCTATAGCAACGACTAATGAATCCGGACGGCCCAATTTCTTTGTCACTTGATGACGTATTATCCTCAAGTATTTTACGCAGCCGATAAAGCTGTGCCGAGTGCCAATATTATCGAAGACTCTGTATGAAGACATTTATTAATTACTTATTGCTTCTTAAGCAGTTATATATTATCATACTAATGAAAAGTTACATTAATAGTAGTAATGAACCACTCAAGTTACCTAGAAAAATTCGTCGGTACGCTCCCGATATAAGCATCTTCATTCAAATCGAGTGCTTTTAAATGGCCACTAGATTGGCCGACCACGTCTTCCATATCGTCGACTGATAAAATCCCGTCTCGATGATATCGCTTCGCAGACACCTTGTGATACTCGTTTAATGTTATCTTCTCTAGTGAAGTAAGTATTAACACTCCGTTTCCAAGATTATACCTGTATTGAGAATGAGATTAAATTGTAAACGATATCCAAAAGCAGTTCCCAGTTTTATCGAATCCAATAATCTTTGCATTTTATTACATCTAGAGTGATGCAAGAAAATATTGCTTACCTAAACTCTAAATATCCGTTTACTAAGGCGAGCGAAACAAAATCACCGGTGCCGTCAGGTTTTTGCTGATTGTACAATATGACGCCGTTCTCGGAAAAGGCTTTAAATTCAATATCGATATTCAACTTGTGGTAAGCTTTCAAGGGTTTTAGTCTTATATAAGAAGTGCCGTCGAAGGAAGGAGTCTCTATGTAGGTTGCTAGTAGTCCGTCCTTTGCGAGGGACTCGCAGTTCAATCCTGTGTAAGGACCCGCACACAAGCACGTGTAAGTGGATCCAGGCAAATCAATACATGTGCCGAGATTGTAACATGGTTCTGATAAACAAGCGCTATATTCTTCCGTGGTCTCTTGTGGAATTTGTTCTGTGAAACGTAAAAACATTTAAAATACCAGTAAAATAAAAATATCTCGGAACAAAATTGTAACTCAAACTGAAATAGAAATATAACTATTGACTGGATAATCTGTTCGTTACTCGTTTGTACATAATACAATGTACGATAGATTATTATTATCTGTACAAAGTCGAAAAGCTATTACATTAGTAACATGTTTCTATTCTTAGACCAGACAGATAAATCACTGAAGCGGACTAATGCTAAGCAGATTATCTAGTAATTAGACATTATGAACTTGACGCACAGATATTATTTAGCGGATTTATAGTTGGAGTAAATGAGGCTAGTCATGCGGCACTTATCGTCCTAAGAGAGTGCTAATCAGGAACGGAGTTTGCTTTCCGAGACACACGACTTGGTGATAAGGCTTCATGCGAGAATGTTCCCGTCGGACAGACAACCCACTCCAACTTGTCAAGTTTGTAATTACGTGAGAAAGAGCTACTTACTTTGAAATTAAACCTAGGGTTGTACCGTGTTAACTTAAAGGATTATTAATAGCCGCGTCATATTGTGTTATATATTTTGAAAATTATATTAGTGTTCATCGTTTGAATATGTAATGTATGTATATGAGGGAGGAATGTCTTAAAGCCAATGAAATTAATAAGTTAATTAAGAGTTCTTTGGTTGGTTACTTAATCTTTTGTGACCACATAACATTTGAATCTAATAACTTATGCTGCTGCGAGTTGAGTTTGCTAGGTGTCGTTTTCAACTTTTACATAACTCACTTACAGTTACATTTAAGTAGTTTACGTCACTGCAACTCTTTCAGTTTTATTATATGCAGGAATCAAGCACAAAATAAAAAAAACAACTAATACTAAAAACTACTCGTAATAATGTACTACTTTATACTAAGTACGTACCAACACATGCTTTTCTATGTAATGTTGGCACGTGACCCGCGCGACACACACACGCTGCGCGTGCGCACTCAGCGCCCGGGAGGGCGGCACAGTCACCATCGTCGGCGCACAAGTCGCCAAGTAAGGCGGCAACAGCACCAGAACCCACAGTTGCAGTTGTGGCTAAGAGCAAAATTTTAAATGCAAATCCGAATCTACCAAGACCTAGCCAACCTGTGTATTAGTAGCATTCAATGAACTACGTAATTGAATTAGTAATTTTCATTTTAAGAACTTCTCGAATCCATTATTTTTACTAATAAAAGCTTTACAAAAATGGTAACGAAATTAGACCGTTTAAGGTTTCAATGGAACAACAAATGGTTAGTAAGTTTCATGAATAAACAGGAAACTCTTTAACAAATACCATAATGAGGGTTTACTGCTTTTGTCAATTTAATATTTCTTTATTAAGCTGATGAAAATAATGATTAGTTTTAATACAAAGTAAAAGAACTTTTAAACAGATAAAAATATAACATACCTTTGAACTTTTGCCCGGATAGAATGCTATCAAAGTCGCTTGGTGTCTCTTTCCTCGTCCAGTCATATTTGTTGTAGTATTTATCTGGGTTGAGAAGGTGCCTGGTTGATTTGGAAGCAGCGCCGTCATCTTGTTGTGTAAACTGTATTGGAGACGACGGCCGTGGCGGGCCTGCCGTGCCAGCCACCTCACCCAACTTGCACGGGCCAAACGCTTGCACTACAATATCCTCTTGCGTGCGACACGCTTGCAATTTGAGGTGACACTCTGACTCGTAAGTTTTGCCATCGCTACCGCATACCTGTTGGTTTTGGTTAAACTTAGCTACGTTTCGCGGGCGAAGTTACAAGGTCGTGTTCTCCGATGTGAATATTTATCGACTACAAGTTCGTAATTCAGAGAACTCCTGAATTATAATAAATCAGTGGATATTAATATTCATGATTGGTAAGGTATTATTAGAATGCTAGGAAGGAATAACTGTAGTACTCACCAGCATGTTGGTGTCGCTATCGGAGCAGGGAGCCGCGGCGCACTCACACAGCGCGCCTCCAGTGCGCTCCGTACAAACTGCTCCGAAGTAACATGACAGCTCAGCGCATGACGATACAACGCCACCTGTTTCAGCTACAAAATAGCATTAAAGTTAGAAAACGAATGACAAACCCAATATAATAAAATTACTTTTGTGGGTACCCATATGAATAGAATAGAAGTTACAAGACCCTAATCACGGTAATTAAGGGCATCAAGTTCAATTCGTAACCAGATAAAGCCTTTTTACCTATGTTCTGGAAATTTTTTACGCACACAAAAAAGTACTTTTCTGGCCTAATCAAAATTTTCCTTTCAGAGCCTACGAGGAGCGTAACAAGGTTACCCTAATCAATGAAGGATAATTAAATCTGTAATTATACGTTTATAACGGTAAGAACATTAAAGTACAAAGATGTTGCTAATATACTCATTGGTATTTTAGATTTAAGAAAATAGAAAGGAAGCAAAGTATATGCACGCAGCCGTGCTTAAATAACTACCTACCTAAAAAAAGAAAAACGGTTAATACGAAAACATCTTGACATGGGTCAGGCATGGCATTGTTGTAAGTACCTTTGTAATGAGGACCCTAAATCTCAGTGAAGAGTGGGTTTCTGTTTTTTAAAAGAAAATACGACTTACGGTCGGAACACCCGTTGGGTCCTAATCTGCGTCTGTGGTCGGCACACACGGTACACTTCTGTCCTTGAACCCCGGTTCGGCAAACACATCGACCAGTCATTTGTTCGCAATCTTCTCTTACTGAACCGAAAGCTGAACACCCACAAGCTAAAATAGAACATCTGATATGTGAACAGAGTACGATTTGGCTTAATGTTAATTTTAGTCAGAATTAATGAAGTATACGTACGAATACAGCCAGTATGGCCGGATCCGATCCTCGGAAGTCCCCAGTAGCCAGGCTCGCATCGGTCGCACTTGAGGCCGCCCACACCGGGTCGACAAACACACTGTCCGTCCTCGTCGCATCGATCCGACACCGAGCCGAGCCGGTTACAACCGCAAGTCGAGCTCGTGATTGGACACCCTTCCTCATTAGGACCACTGGCTGCGGTCGAACCGTCCGAACAACATCCAAACGACGTCTCCGAACAGTGAGATATCTTCTTTTCCTCAAATTGTCTCGAATCGTCTGTGCAGTAATGTACAATAGAAATTATTTCCTAAGCCCTTCCATGTGTCACCGAACACACGACTGAATAAAATACGATATTTTATAAGATGGAGACAAAGGGCCCAGAGCGGTAACGGCTAGCGTGATTGTATCCAATTTACTGTTGGTGCCGTGTACCGTTAGTATCTTCACTCTGACAAATCGCCAGTTAGCTATCATATTATGTGCATAAAGCCGAGCTTTCTATTATTCGAAATATTATAGAGCAAAGTTATAACTAAAGTGAAATATGATGGCCACTACAAATCAGTTTCGCTTTTAATTAAAACAGATTAATCGCAACTCAACAAACAATTAAAATGTACTACTACATAGAATATTTGTCTGACGCTAACTTAATTACAATACATAATTGTGTTGAGTACAGTTGTATAGTACAAAGTTTTATTGTTATTACCTTAGTCGGATGTTAAATGTTACAAAGTTTAGTTTAAATAACCAATATAATTGTATAATTGATGCTGAATTGTTGAGACTTAATAAGCTTGAGCCGTAGTGAAACGAATAGAAAAAATGTACAGCAAACAATATACTACGTATTGATGATGTAATATAAAAATATGAAAACAAGCGCACACTATACATGAAACTGGTGCTTTGCATTATTTATTTTGTGTGTGAATACGAAATACTCACTTTTGGGGCAGCACCGTGCCGCTGTCAGCGTGATATGACAGTAGCTGCCAACGGGGCAATCCTGCCTGTGCGGCCCGTTACCACAGTCTATTTCGAGGCCAGTGGTAGGATCAACCATTGCTTTATTATTACCGCAGGGTCTTACTTCCATACCTGTGGTTAACAATAATTAATTGCCCAACGTTATATGTGAATCGTGCTCTACTGATATTATTACATTATTATTCATTGTTAGTATGTGTTAGAAAGCAAGAAGACAAACCTTTACACAGATCCAACGGTCGAAGTCTTAATTCAAGTTGTTTCTGGCAGCCCTCTTTACGCATAGCGCAGAGACTAGGATAAAGTCGAAAGTCTGAGGCACACACTGGGAAGTATTCTGTTTCGTGCGGGCACTCGAAAAGGCAGGAACAGCGCGGATAGCCATCGGAGCCAATTTCGCAACTGGCGCCGAAATCACAGCGAATATCCCGACAGGCGGAAGGATTGGCCGTGCCGTCCAAGTCAGTGGCGCCCCACACATCTGTGGACCCGTCCTCCGCCTCGGTGGTGGTCATCGCGGTCGTAGCTACACCCCAGCCCAAATATTTGCGTGTTAGTCGAGCGATAAAGCGGAAAGTTAGTTAATTGATTGACGATGGGTCCCTTTATTGAAATTACTGCTCACAACTAGGTTGATGTATGGTCCGATAATAAATGTTTTCAGGTGGACCAAACATTTTCTCTTTAACTTACTTTAGCGATTTCAGGAATCAAAGACCATGAATCTGTTTGGGTAATTAAACTTAAAAAAAGATAGTATAGTTATGTTAGTTTAACGTTAATAGTGTTAACAAGTAAATGAGTTTTCAAATAAAAATACAATTATTGATACGTACTCATAGCTATAGGAGGTACGACGGCCAGTCTGTCTTTGCAGTCTCCATAAAATATGACGTGTAGTTTGGCGGGTGGCGGTAACCTACATGCAGCCTTCTGTAGTTCACACTCATTTGGAAAAGTCTGCATTGTGCTGCCACAGACTGGTTCCCGAGCAGCACCAGTGCAGTCTGTAGGACATACGCACTCGCCAGCAGCACAATGAGCTCCAAACGCGCACTGAACACCTTCACACAAAGCTGTTGAAGAAACATCTAATAAATAAACATGTCAATATTATACTATTCCACTTTAATTAAATCCATAAAAAGGGGTTTGAAGAAGTCAATGCGAGCGCGTCGCGTGAGCTGTAAATAATAATACAAGCGCGAGTTTTATTTCGTCTGCGCTGGCAGGGTTACGACTTTGTAAGCACCCTGGCTGAAGTTCTCCGAGAAACGAATGGCTGAACAGATAATGTCATTACGTTGGACAATTGTGTGCTTCCTGTAATACCTCTCTCATTCTACCGCTAAGGAAAATTAGGCTTCCTCTGTCTCTCACTGAGGGATGAGGCAGGACACCCGTGCAAATTTAATAACGATTGTTTACCACTTCTCCGCAAAATGAAAGTCTTGTGAAAGCGGTCGATTAATACCGGACGGAAAATGGAAGGAGATGTTTTGTAATAAAATTTTAAAGTAGGAACAGTGTAGACACAACAATATCTGCCGCTGAAAGTGGAAGGGACTAAACTTTCGTTATCTTTACAAGAACCCGCAATTAATGGGTTGCCAGTTACATAGAATATAAAAGATGACACCGCCATTTTTACTGTGTACCCTTTCACATTTTAATAGTTCTGCTATAAAAAGAACAATTATCTGTGTTACGTTAGTACTAGAATACAAAATTTACGCGTAGTACGTGACTTCTGCACGTGTATTAATATTTACATATTATGTTACCTAAGATTATTATGTAAGTGGAAAATATAATTTTGTTTAAAAAAATATTAGGAAAGTCATCTGCATGCCTCATCTATTTTGCGCAATTTGAAAGCATAGTTTACTTAACCTACAAAATAGCATATTCAAGATTGTAATATAGGTTTTCGACAAAACTGTTGGAAATATTTATTTTGGTCATAATAAATTTGATCCTCTTGAGCAATGTCGAAATAAACGAAATTACACCAAAATAACTGTATAAAAATAAAATTGAAAGAGCGAGCTGACATAAATCTAGAAAACATCTGAACTAAAATGTTATCAATCTTTATTGCCGAGATTTGGTACCATTTAGATCGCTGAGTCCCATATTAAAGTTGCCTCCGGAAATTAAATTCAACAATAGAATCGGAGTCTCCTCATTCTCAATATCAGCCTTCATATATCGGCATTTATTTCATACTGTACAATTGAAGATAAAATATTGCGCGTTTTTGAAACTTTATACGAGTTCAATTCAAACGTTTTCTAAAAGATTTTAGTAAGCAAAAGAGCTTTTGATTTTGATTCCTTGATCCTCCATACAAATGTACCGGATTACAGTTTAAATTCCAACGCAGACCTCCCGCGATTAATAAAGTAACCCGAGGATGCACATCACAAAGGCGATTTACCTAATCTCACTCTGTTTCGGGTACGCCCGTTATAGGGAGACTTTAATCCGCTATCGATCTCTAATCCCTCTGCGCAATACCTAAGCCTATCACAGCTTCATAAAAAACTCTTTATTCCAATAGAGCGCCGACAATCTCGGAGAAAGTACAAATTTTTCAATAATTTTGTGCTTAATTTGTAGCATTTGCGTAATATTTATTTTTTGTAAATTGATTATAAATGCACGTTTATTTCTTAAGTCCAGTATTAAACGATCATCTTTTATTAACCATTGTTTTATCGACCACGTAAAAGTGTGGTCGCCTGTCATACGAAGATTTATGACATTTGTTACGGGTAGTGTGGAGTCTAAAAGTCTGACAACGGTTGACCCGGTTGACAGAGGATAGTGTATCACTTCTGGCGAGTTATGAAGGGCAGATGGTAAATCACTCCTCGTCAACTACTGACGTTCGACCACGGAGAAAATATAAAATGTTGTTTTTTTTATGGAATATGTCGGAAAACGAGTAGACGGATTACCTGATGGTAAGTAATCAGCGCCGCCCATGGACACCCGCGATGGAGGAGTAACGAGTGCGTTGCCGACCTTTTTGGGATTAGGGTTTTGGAGATTAAGGGATTAGGAGGGATTGGGGGATGGGAAGGATTGGGCCTCCGGTAACCTCACTCACACGGCGAAACACAACGCTGTGGTTGTTTCACGTCGGTATTCTGTGAGGCCGTGGTATCACTCCGGTCGAGCCGACCCATTCGTGCCGAAGCTGGGCTCTAAGTAAATCATCAAAATGGGAACAATGATATCTAAAAGTAGTCTCTATCTCTAAAACACACAAACAAGTGATTGATCAAAAATTCACAGCACAAGTTCTGTTTATGAAAGTAAGTAAACTAACCTCATTCGCAGCACGGTTTTTTTTTCAAAATTCTAATCTAAAACCTGGAGATTAGTGTTCAACCTGTATTGTTAGAAAAGCCTCTTGTGACCTTTTTGAAAGAATCGAGTATAAAGTTTCGCAAATAGCTAACTTTGTTAGCTACAGTATTTTGTGTACAAACCTTTTGAAACTGAGTTACCTAAACAGTAAACACTCGTAAATCTTTTCACGAGTTCAGTGCCCCAAAAGATCGTTTGTACTGTAACTATTTTCACACAAATTAAAGATTCCTTACTCCGATAAATTGTAAAGGTTGCTATCAATATCAATTTGCGAATTTCGAGTACGAACTATGAATTCACGAGATTAATAACGATAAAGTAAATTGTTGTTTAAGGTTTAATTCCACATGATTTCATGTTAAAAGCTTGAGAGGCTTTATATAAACTATTTAATATCCTGATATAAACTCTAATTCACTAAAACTAACACACAAGCTGGTTTTTGTATTCAATTAATGATTGAAAGATATGTTTAGTTTTATTTATATTTGAGCTTTTTTGCTTTCAATGAATAGATATTCCAGAAATATTAAGTAGTTTCCCAACATTTAACTGTAGCATCTTAAGTGTGGGAGAGCCATTCTTCTGTGCGTATAGACCGGCTCGCCCGAAGTGTTACTACGCCTCAGAATACTGGGATAAAATAGCAATCACTGTGTGTTTCACCAAGTGAGTGAGGTAACAGAAGCCCATTCCATCTTCCTTCCTTCCTTCCCTCCCATCTTAAATCCCCAAAATCCCTTTTCCTTAAATCCGTAATAACCTACAAAACGGCCGCAACGCACTTTTAGTAATTCCTTTAGTACTTTATTATATTACTAGTGTCCATGGGTGGCGTCGGTTGCTTACCATCAGGTAATTCGTCTGCTCTTATATCTTAAAAAACAAAGTTTTAAAATAAAATAGCGCGTTATAACAAAAATGGTACACTTACCACAATCGCCTTTGTAGGCGAGCTGCAGATCAGATTGTTCCCGACACGCTGTCGAGTCCAGCTCACATTGTGACGGGTACGTCTGCCCGTCGCTCCCGCATACCACGTCTGATTCCTGCCACGAATAAACATTGACCAAATTACGATAAGTCATGGCAAAATTTAAGTCTGAAATACAATCCGAACCTGCAATAAAAACAAAATCTTTGGGCGTTTTAATCTCAGTCGATTAGGACGTCGATGACGCAAATATTTCTTACAGATAACATTCTCTTGTTACTCGTACACTTCTGCAACGTTTCCTTATAATATTCCAGAAAAGTCTGACAGAGAAAAACCAGGCCGTAATATTCCCAACGACATTAATTTTCGTGATGTAAGAGACGCCATCCATAACGTACTAAAGTCGCGAAAACGTAACTCATAAGGCAATTTAGGACAGAAACCACGACCACCCATCTGAGCATCTTTACGTAGAAATAAGAAAATAAGCTAGAATAATCTTACGGCTCACAAATCTATTATTTATCTTGGACCAGGCAGCTGACTTTCATTTATCTTCTAGCTAAACCTTGGACTCCAGCAATTTCTTATGATTTCTCAATTTTTTGGACAGAATAACATCAAAGCATTAATTAATTGGCGAATTCAAGGAACAAGGTGAGCGTCTTAATTAATAAATAATGGAGATATCTAAGAGATATTATTGTTAAGCTTATTATGATCCGGCTCCCAAACCAAACCAGTATAATCACAGCTTCTCTTTCACCAATTATGTGTTATTTGGTGGCTTATTTCCGAGTATTGTTTAAAATCGGCTTAACTTGATTGGTTTGAAACTGAACCCTCAAGAGGTTATTAAATCGAGTATCTACTTCGTGATTTGTGAAAGTGCTTATCGATATTAGATTAGCTTTCATTGTGAGATTCAAATTTCAATTTGATCAAGATATTGATCAATTATTAATTTTAACAATTGAAGACTGACTCAGACTAAGTTACCAGTTATAATTAAGGATACAGATCCTAGCCTTTAATAACAGAGTACAACAAAAACATATATAATATATTATGTTGTGATATAATATCTTGGTTACTCCTACTTTTCGGTCGCGTTTTGACGCATAATTAAAACCCGAAATTCTCCCTAGAAAGCACATTACTTCTAATAAGAAACTTGTTATAATTCTATTCAAAGTACCTACTATACTGTTATAATATAATATAAAAAATATTAATTATTGATTGTTTATACAAGAAAAGTGGTTATTTAACTAAAGTATTTTCCATTTATAAATTAATTAGTTTGTTTTTTAGTAAATTTACTAAATTATACAAATGTTAGGAGAGAAAAGGAAATAAACATACTATGTAATAATAGTGTTACGTGCCTGACGTCACGTTCCTGAATATGCGGGCTTGGGTTACGGGATTGGATGAAATGAAACACTAATACCGGTTTTCAGACTTTCTATTGCACTTAAGTTACAGCATCCACGGAGTTAAGTTATCGGCGTTCTTCTGCAGCAGAGTCCGGCCGACTGACACAACTTTGCCGTTCACGCTGATTTAACTCACTTAACTGACTGCACTTCACTATTTCACTGCACTTCACTATTTCACTCACTTTTCTTCTTTTCCACTTCTTCCTTTTCTTCCGAATCGCTTTAGACTTAGAACTCAACTGCCAGCGGTGAGCCGCAGTTCCGCTTATATACCCCCGGTCAGGTTCTAGAACATTCAATTTCGTTATTCTTTTTGATCGTCATGCCTCCAGAACCTTCCAATAATTTCGTTATTCATTTTTATTTATTCTCCTTCTCGCTCCTTAATTTTTCATTTCTTTCACTCAAATAATTCCAGAAAGTTCGACAAAACTTCCATCAACTAAAAAACTTCATGTTTACGGCGGGACTCGAACTCGGGGTCTCTGTGGTGTAATCCACACGCCTTACCGATTACACCAACTCGTGTTGACAATTCACGACGAAATTTACAATCTCTAGGCAACGTTTGACAACCATCCCTTGACGTCATGATGTCAAAGAGTTTTCCGTCACACTGCCCCCCTCTTAGATTCGCTCGTCCCGAGCATCGTTGCTGCCGTAATACCTCGCCAACCTGTCTATATGGACAACTTTCAAAGGGCTCCTTGAAGTCTTCCGAATTCTGTAAGTAATGTCATTGATCTTCGTGACTATCTCATAAGGACCTTCCCAACTCGGTTGCAGCTTCGGAGATTTTCCCTTCCTTTTGACTGGATTATGAAGCCAGACCAATGACCCTTCTTCAAACCCAACAGAATTGGCTCGTCGATCATAGCGCGTCTTTGCGCGATCACTAGCTTGAAGACCGGCCTCCCTGATCTGCTCATAAATGTCCAACATTTTTGCCCTTAACTCGCTTATGTAATCGCTAAATTCGGTGCGAGAGTCGCCAGGTGGACAGCCCGATACAAGATCTGCCGGTAATCTCAATTCCCTTCCAAAATTTGCAAATGCAGGCGTCTTTGCGGTACTTTCATGTACAGCAGTCCGATAGGCAAGCAAGAAGAGAGGTATGTAAGTGTCCCAATCTCTCTGATGGCTGTCAACCACCTTTGCTAAGTGTCGTTCCAATGTTTGGTTGAAACGTTCGACCATTCCATCTGACTGTGGATGATAAGGAGTCGTTCGAGTCTTATGGATTCCCAAAAGTTTACAAGTTTCCTGAAAAACTTGGGACTCAAAGTTCCGTCCTTGATCACTGTGCATCTCCAAGGGCACTCCGAATCGGGTGAATACCTCGTTTACCAACTTCGTGGCTACAGTTACTGCCTCTTGATTCGGTATGGCAAAGACCTCCGGCCATTTTGTAAAATAATCCATAACCACTAAAACGTAGCGATTGCCCGAATCAGTGATTGGAAATGGTCCAGCGATGTCTAAGGCTATTCTCTCCCAAGGCATACCAACATTGTAGATTGTTGGGGTTATTCCACTATCGGCCAGCGCCCACCCCGCAGCCCTGGCTGGAATTAGTTTCCCTGCTGGTCAGAAGTTGAGACCGCCGCGTCCTGGCGGTTCACCTTCTTCGGGCAGTTGCTCCGCATGTGCCCACGCTCTCCGCATCCATAGCACATGAAGTTCCGACGGCGTGGAGGTACCTGCTCCGTAGTCGTCATTTCCCGCAGACATAAGGTACGGGAGTTACCACGCACAGCTTCCACTTCCAATGCATGGGCCAGAGCTTCTTTCATGTTCTTGTGATGGCCCAGATGAACAGCAGCTCGTACTTCGGGGTCCCGAATACCGTCAATGAACGCTTGGAGAAGCGTGCCTTCAATCATTGACGGAGTCGACCGGAAAGCTCGACGCACAAGTTTCTCGATTTCCACGGACCATTGCTGTAGGCTCTCATTAGCACGCTGAGTACGCTCTTTTAATTGCGCTCTGTACACGTGCTCGAGGTGGCTGTCTCCAAAACGTGCCTCAAGTGCGTCGAGGAGGGCACTTAAGCTAAGATCCCCACTTGCGCCGATAGCTTCCAGCACTGAGAGCGCTTGATCACGGAGGGCCAGGGTGAGGGCTGACTGTGCTTCCTTCTGAGTCCAACCATAAGCCTCCATAAGTGTCTCAAACTGTAGCTTGAACGCGTTCCAGGATGTTGTTCCGTCGTAATGGGGAATCTTGAGCCCTTTCGTTGCGCTTGAGGCCACATTTGGGGCGTCAAAAACGGCTGCAAGACGGCTTCGGCTCTTCAAAGGGCTTGGGCTTGTCACTTCCTGCTTGATTTTGGAGATCTCTTCTTTCACTCTCTCCTCTATCGCCATGACGCGATGTTCCAACTTGCCTAACCCTTCCTCCACTTCTTGTACCCGTTCGACAGCCTTTTGCAGTCCCTTCGTGAAATCCTTATGCATCTCTTCCAAGCGACGCGCTTGCTCCTCTTGGCGGCGAGCTTGATCCTCTTGGCGACGAGCTTGATCTTCTTTCAGCTCCCGTAGCTGTTCCGCCTGACAGCGTGCTTGCTCTTCTTGGCGGCGCGCTTGCTCTTCTTGGCGGCGCGCTTGCTCTTCTTGGCGGCGCGCTTGCTCTTCTTGGCGGCGCGCTTGCTCTTCTTTCAGCTCCCGCAGCTGTTCTGCCTGACAGCGCGCTTGCTCTTCTTGGCGGCGCGCTTGCTCTTCTTGGCGGCGCGCTTGCTCTTCTTGGCGGCGCGCTTGCTCTGCCATCATTTGCTGCAGCTGTAGCAGAAGATCCACCTGCACAGGCTTGGCTTCTGCATCGCTGGTTTGAGCTGCAGCACCCTCTTCCCTCACACGCTGCGCTTCTGACATTGCACGGGTACTCACTCCTCTTACGTCCTGCGGCACTAGCGGCATTTTTCTCCAATCCCACTTCTGACACCAAATGTTACGTGCCTGACGTCACGTTCCTGAATATGCGGGCTTGGGTTACGGGATTGGATGAAATGAAACACTAATACCGGTTTTCAGACTTTCTATTGCACTTAAGTTACAGCATCCACGGAGTTAAGTTATCGGCGTTCTTCTGCAGCAGAGTCCGGCCGACTGACACAACTTTGCCGTTCACGCTGATTTAACTCACTTAACTGACTGCACTTCACTATTTCACTGCACTTCACTATTTCACTCACTTTTCTTCTTTTCCACTTCTTCCTTTTCTTCCGAATCGCTTTAGACTTAGAACTCAACTGCCAGCGGTGAGCCGCAGTTCCGCTTATATACCCCCGGTCAGGTTCTAGAACATTCAATTTCGTTATTCTTTTTGATCGTCATGCCTCCAGAACCTTCCAATAATTTCGTTATTCATTTTTATTTATTCTCCTTCTCGCTCCTTAATTTTTCATTTCTTTCACTCAAATAATTCCAGAAAGTTCGACAAAACTTCCATCAACTAAAAAACTTCATGTTTACGGCGGGACTCGAACTCGGGGTCTCTGTGGTGTAATCCACACGCCTTACCGATTACACCAACTCGTGTTGACAATTCACGACGAAATTTACAATCTCTAGGCAACGTTTGACAACCATCCCTTGACGTCATGATGTCAAAGAGTTTTCCGTCACAATAGAAAGTAGATTCCTATGTACTTACTAATGCTTGTAATCTATGGTGCTAAGTTAGCACTTAAATGAGTTGTACAGTTAACCGCTTAGTAACTCGTCATTGCAAAACCTTAATGGTATTTGCTTTTGATTATGTCTATGCATATAAAAAGGAATTTGTGGTTTCAAACATGCAAGAGAATTTATAATAATGGTATACCATTTTTTTGATGGGGCAAATTCATGGTTATTCTAAAAAGTGTAGACTGTTGGAGTAAGTAGTTTATGATATATAAAAAAATATATTTTAAGTAGGAGTGACGACTGACAAAAGAAATGGAAATAGAAAAGATAATGTTTCGATAAAGCTAGAATGAAAATGTTACACAATAACTTCAAATACCTAAATTTCTATACAATTTTAAACACTCATACTTAGTATTGTATACAGCCGCTAGAAATTAGTGCAATAATTCAGCAATATGTAGCTGTTAGGAAGTATTTATGTAACGTCTTACAAAGTCGGGCTAGCCAGTCGAAGAAGCAATAAATATAGGTGCAGTAAATTCAGGAGTACAATACCTGGGCCTCGGTGCAGTTGTGGTTGCAGCGGCATATTGGCCGGCCAGTATCTCCGTCCACGGCGCAGTCGCCGCCACCCTTGCACACGATGTCGGAACAAGTTTCTAAACAATACAAGTCTAATAAGACATTATTTAACACACACAGTGAAGGTTATTTGTTTCCTTTGCCTACGTATTTTACGTACAATAAAGCGGTATTGTCTTGTGTTATATATAGGTATATTATTTATGATATTATCACTACCGTGGGATAGCTTTGAAGCGTAAAACTAGGGAATGATAAATAAAAACTCGACGCTTGTTTTTACGTTGTACGCTTGTTGTTGTTGTATGTATTTAAAAGCAAAAATGTTTGGGGATAAATAATAACGAGTATTGAATTTCGGTTAGTAAATAATTTAATTTTCCTTTTTTTAAATAAAGTATTATTTGGAAAAGAAAACAAACAAGACGATAATCAAAGAGTTATTTAAAACAATTTTTCATCAGTATGATTAATTTTGCTGTAGATTTTTATAAAGTGGCCTTTGTGATTTATCGACAAGCTTTCACTAGAAACCCTTTGAAAGAAACTCCATTAAAATGTGACTAAGCGCTGGTGAACGACTCTATCAAATATTGTTTTAATAATTAATAGCCAGCCTCGGACGCCTTTAAATAATAAAATTAATCCGTATTCTCTGCTCATCAATCCGCGTCGCGTTCAATTTCCATTGAGCCATTTTAATCTCTAATTGACATTTCAGTGCGCAATGATAGAGTAACGTACAATTTATTACTGTGTTGAGTCCCGCGAACAAATTGAACTGAATGAGCTTCAGCGGAAATAAATGAGTGTCCATGTAAAAGTAGCCTGGTTTATTAAATGTTGAGTACCTTCATTGCAGGCAACTCTCCAGTTCTTTCATTAAAAATCATATTTTATATCAACGACTATAAATCGTTACATGCTAACAGAATAACAGCTATAATATGGGCGCTCAAGAGTACCGATAACAATGTATTTTCAATATTAAATTATAAGCACACCCACTTCAGCAATAAATTTCGTAACACTTTCTGTTTCACCCGTTTTGTTGCGAGAATATTTTGAATTTGTGCTCAGACTTATCTGGCATTAAAATTTTACCACTTAATTTCCCTATATTTTATTATTTTACCATAAAATTATTCCAAGCAAAATCTTGAACACCGCAAAATATTTCTTATTGCAAAAGAATGTCGTTCGCCTTTTATTGACAATTTCATAAAGAAAAAAGATTTCCATCACGGGAAATTGATAGCAATTTTTCTTCAAAAAATTCCGAATTTCATCTCCGCATTCGGCAATGCGGTGACGAGATTTTAATTTAAATTACTTATAGGAGTATTTTATACGCTTCCGAACGCAAATATTAAAGAAATAAATTACCAACGAGCATACAACTTGTTAAATCGTAAATATTATACTTTGAAAAGATAAGCTTTGTTTTGAACAACACTTGCAAAAGTTTTATTTAGGTTGTCTATATTTAATTAGCGAAGTTCTTCCAATAAATTAGTTCAAAGAGCTGTTCCATTCTGTGCCTAGAAAGTTCTTAGTTAGGTACACACCAGGTACAATACACGGCTACTTCTACTTTAACTAATGGGTACGTAACGATGTTAACAAGATATTGTTTTGAAACTAATTGCAATATTATACTTTATAACAATATTCTTAACATTGAAGTGATTTTATTTTATATATTCTGCTAAAAACAGAAACATATTCTTTTTTTAAATAAATAAGTTTTAGGTGTTAGTACTCACGGCATGTTCCATTGTATAGCACTTTTAGTTCTCCATCAGGTACGCCTTCTTGACAGGCGTGCATGCGCATCTTGCACTCAGATCCATAAGTATTACGATCGGAAGCACACACAGGAGTAAGCGTGGCGTCACACACGGGACATGCGCACTGAGCAGCACCACCTCGCGCTACGCAAGCTCCGCCCCATGGACATGATGCGCGGGCGCACGGATTTTCTACACCTGTCAAATTACAAAACGTTGCAAATCATTTCGTTCAAAGATGTAGGTAGTAAAAATGCAAACTGATTGTTTATGTTTTAGTACTACGGTTATATCAAATTCGTTTTATAAAAAAAAAGAATCATAAATTATCATGTATATAATGTTTGCATTCCAGAAAGTGGTCAGTTTACTGACCGAATAAAATAAGCTGAAGCTCACACAAAGTCGAAAGCCAGCCACGAACTTGGCTAAACCACGTCACACATTCGCCAGCAGGATTTTACGTTTCAAAACATTCAACTTACCGCAGGGTCCTGTGTAAGCAACTCGTACATCTCGATTATCTAGACATGAGGCGCGGTCCAAGTGACAGCGGGAATCGTAGGTCCGGCCGTCCGAGCCACACACGGGCCGTACCACCGGCTCGCATTCAGCGCCGCATCCACACACCGCCACACCGCGAGCATCCAGTGTACAATGCTCGCGAGACCCGCACTTTACCGAGTCACATGGGTGTTGCGCTGTTACAAATTAAACAAAATATTTCAAACAATCAATTTAAACACGTCCGTGACAGCTTTCAAATCTATTAAATCTCAAAGAGGCTGACATAAATTTATTACGAACAATTTAACACAAAAGTTAGTTAACTCTGATGGATAGAAAGCGAGAGAAAGCAGAACTTGTAATATTAAAACTTTAATACTAGGTAACGAAATTATTCCATTCCTGCCACAATTTGTTTCGGGTCGACTTGGCGCCTCGATGCTCTTACCCAATTACTTTCCTAAGGACAAAATGTCTCTTCAAGATGGGATACAAATAAGCTGGCTCTTTACATTTCCGAATAAAGATTTAATTTTAGATTAGAAGACTAGGTTTTCATTGAATGATATGTGTTTACTTCGAATGCCCTTAAAAGTTCAGAGATAAATTTGTACATATTGCTCAAGAGTATATAAGAAATGTGTAATCTACATACCTGAGGCGCATTCTCCTCTATATGCGATGGTTAGTTGCTGACGAGATCGACATGACTCTCGGCGCAAGGCGCACTCGCTCGGGTAGTCTCTGTAGTCGGAGCCGCATACAGCAGAGCCGGGCCGCACCAACAGATCACATGGTGGACCACATCTGCAGACTGGCGCTCGCGCTTCATTTAACTGACAAACGCCACCGTCAGCACATTCATGTTCCGAACACGGGTCTGAAACAAAAATGTTTTTTAAAAAGACGAAAGAACAGAATGTAAATATTAAAAAAGTTCTAACGCTATTCATGCAATCAAAGGCAACGTTGTAAACTTAGGAACTCTATAAAGAAGACTTATTTTTGTCAGAGGAAAGGTCTCATCTTATGTACAGCAATTCTGTCGTATAAAAGAGAACAAGACTATGTTGAAACAATCTAATAAAAGCTCCGAAGCAAGCTAGAGTAATGTAAATAAAGAATCTTACAAAGGATGTTGGAATGTGCGGGCACTCAGTCTTGTACAAATTTAGTTCAGATCGAATATTTTGGGACAAGTTTAGTGAAAAGGGTTAGCGAAATGTACTACTACATTTTATACATACAGCAGGAGAAATTAAATTACTTTTATGAAAAAGAAAACAGACAACCCAATTTACGAGTTACGAAAAAATATTTTGCCATACCCATCAAAGTTTGTATAACTTTTGGGTGAATAGGCAATATATTTATTGCTCATAAAACAGCTTCAGAAAAAGTAAATAACGTTAGACGTGGGAAATAACATAGTATTCCCTACTTTATTAAAGGGTGGTCGGTGACCCTTGGAGTTCTATATTAAGTAGTAAAAAGCAATTGGAAAGCATGTCACGACATTTTATTGTCCTACAAATATTAAATAAATAAATTAGTAATTATCAATTGATTTTTAATGAGTTTATAAAACTTGTGTCATTGTTTTATATAGAGTAATTAGTTATGAGTTTTATGTAGATGTAGATTGATATTTTTTTATTACCCTGCGCGTATATAAGACATGTTTTTAATTACTTTATTTATTTTGTCTCGAACTTAAATTGGCCTAATGTGGGTATCAAAATATCGGCACACCGTCGCGAGACCTCCACTATCACTACATGAGTGTAAACATATTAATAGGTACATAAATGTGTATGTTTCCGTGTTTTGAAAAATACACCATAGAAAAGTATATCTTCGTTGTGTGTCTACATTTCCCCTAACACATGACCATACATTTGTGTTACACGTTGTAGAAAGCAAAATGACTGATACGAAACTGTAGATGGATCTCTTTCAATAAAAAAAGAGTGACAGAAGGCGTGTCACCTTTCTACGCACGTTTCCTTACAAAGCCCGATTTCATTCTGGGACAGTCCCGTCATCTGACACGGGCAAAATGAAATGTTGACCCTTTTTGTGTGCTTCGCGTCTATTATTAAGAAAAGACCTCTTCTTAACGAGTTCTTTTATACTCTCAAAGATCGACAATAACAATACCAAGTCATTATGTTTTAATTAATAATCCCTCATTAAAATTACTGTGGCTTGCTGAGCGTAGTAAAATGGAAGTTTTATGATCAAATGGATTGTTATTCTAACAAAATAAATTAATTACTGTTCTTTATTTATGAATATTATTTCCTGTTGCGAATTATATTTTCCGCGATATCTTTCTGAGTCTGAATAATCCATGTTAACTCATAAACAGCGTGGCAATATACGTAGCTGCTCAGTTTATGTGAGAATAAGTAATGACATGAACGGTATGTACTTATATGCAATTAACATAATGGAAAGTTGTGCTGTGCCAACAAACGAGTCAAATGTATAAACTTGCTTATGCTGCAACATGGACAATGTTTGCAACAAACAAACTTGCAACTTTAACAGAACACGCTTCTATGAATCTGACAAAAGTGCGAGAAAATTGTCAACGGCACACGCCAACACTGCGACAACTTTAGATAGATACGACTGACTGGATATATGAGTATCTAATAAACTTGTTAGCTGAAAAGATCGTAAATATACAGCCCATTAAGTTTATATGCTTCAAATGTATTATTATTTTATGTAAAGATCTAGTTAGTTAAAAAACCAACACAAAAATTTTCAAACACTCGACTCACATTTTAACTAATAGGTAATGCCACAATATGACATTATGTCCGCTTTATATATTAACTTTTTTCCTTTTGTATATACAAAAGTCTAAATAAATAAATGAAAAATAAAACGCATACCGCATTTTCCATGATATTTGATGGTGATATTCAATTGGTTATCACAAGCATGTTTGTCGAGATGACAAACTGAGGAGTATTCCCTTCCATCGGTTCCACAAACAGGTTTCCGTCGTTGACAACTCCTTGGACATCTACATTCCGGTTGACCATACGCTGCCACACATCGAGCACCTGCTGGACACGTTACTCCTGTACATGGATCCCCTGCATCTACATTGGACAAGGAAAAACGGGATCTAATATCAAGATGATAAAAACGTAATTAAGAGAAGTTATATTTAAATCTAATAAATTAGCATCGCAAAACTGAGATTCAGAGAGCTTACAAAACTATTCGATTCCCATTCTTTATTAGTCATGGTATGAAAGGAATCTTTTCAAGTAAAATTTGTTAAAAAATCAGAAAAATATTGGATCAGACAAGAGTATTGTATCAGTTAAATTGGGTTGGTTTCACTTTAACCTGAAATATTCAGGTTGAATTGACTAATTAAACAATGTGATCACTAATCCACTAAAAAACTGATAAAGATACAAATAAAATGAAGTGTTAAATGGTTGAGAGACAACATTTGAGCGACAAATAGTATGACGATTGCGATGTCGAAAGGATCCATTGGCAATGTGACGAGATTAAGGACAGAAAGACCCTTTATCTTATCGAATGTCTGTCCTCTGAACGGTTGACACTGTTAATGCTCAAAGTGACGGGTGGCGCTACTTATGGCGCCATCTTTGAGTACTTTCACAGTTTATTTTATTTTCTATTGCTGTGTATTTACCACCTACCACAGCGCTTGAATGGAGTATTTTATTTTTTATTTTAGATATCTCTGAATAAACCAGTGTTACTTTAAAATTTTATGTTGACTATCTTAGTTTTGTTCATTTATTTACAACAGACTATACGTACTGTATTAATAATAAAATTATGAAAGAATTTTACAAAATATTCTTCGACTACAGCCACGCTACAAAGTAATAAATTAATAAAACAGATATTTTTCGCGTCAAAACGTGTGCTATGAAAATAATTAATAGCTGAGCTGAATAGCCGAGCAATGTCACGTATTTTCATGATAAATAGGTTTTGTTTGGGCTATATTAATAATACCATTCATTATACTTTGTTTCTTCAGCACTAAATATGGTTGGAGATCGCATGCTACTGTCCATTAAACATTGTAATTACATAAGTAACGTAAATGTTGCACCAAGCTTCATTAAAATAACGAGCAAATTAATAATGTTATCTCAACATAATATCGTAACCCTAGTCTGTTGTAGAAATTTCACATTTAAACGAGCAGCATTTAATCACCATTAAATAAAAAAGTTAGAAGTTTGCTTTGCGACACTTACCACATTCTCCCTCGTGCTTGACGCGGAGGTTCAGTCGCCGTTCGCAGGCTTCCTTACGTAAGTAGCAATGGTTGCGGTATGTTCTGCCGGCGGTGGAGCACACGGGAGCCGGTGATGTCGGACACGTCGTGGGGCAAGCACAGTGGGCACGCCCGTCCCCGAGGGACACACACTCGGCGCCCCAGCGACAAAATGTTTTTTCACATGCCTCTGGAAAATGAAAAGTTGTTCAGCATTCATTCTGCATTCACGTTTATGGCTTTGACATATTTAAATTGAATATGCAATGAAACGAAAAATATTAATCCTTTAACTGAAGTTCATGGAATTTAACATAATTACGCGAATTATTTATACTAAAAGTGCTCATCCTCACAGAATTTACTGTACCTAATACTTTGATGTTTATTATCCATGGGAGTTGTAGAGTGGATGAAAAAGTTATTATTATTGCATACACAAATTGTACATAAATAATAAAGAAAGAGTTACTGGATATATTACAACGAACTCAATTACAACAGGTACTGAAAAAAAGCCAAAATAAAACATTGGCCCAAACGGGACGTCTGATTTCCAGAAAGTGATGGAATTGATTAAGTTACAGCTGAGCCGTGAATAGCGCTAATAAAACGGATATCCCCGCCACAAGCCACCGGCACCAGCGAATTCTTTGAACAAGATATAATTCTTTAGCGAACTCCGCTATGGATGACACAATTTCCAATTTTCTACCTGGGGAGTCAGAGGCGTGACTAAATTATTAAGAAGGACTAAAATAAGACGCGAGTTTTCATTTCACCACAGCATTGTATTAGAATAAGCTTCAAAGATTACAGATTTCTATCGTCTTGTTAAAATTCTGAGCAGACAGTCTCGGACGCCAAGTCATACGGCGACAACTAAAAGTTAATTTAGGATTTACTCGCCGATCATAACTTTGGAAATATTGCGATCGTGGATCAAAAATAATATTTTAATTTTTGGCAAAATTTATTATTTATTTTTATTATTTTATATTATATAAATTTATATACAAGTTAAAGTAAGTAAGAGGTTATAATCTAAAAAAAATCTTAAGTTGTAGAAGGCGTGTATTCCTGTTGTACTTACTACAATCGATTAAGAAATCGGAAAAGTTCTCACCAAAAATAAAAATAATGTGTTTGTCCCCTATAACCTTAAAGACACAGACAGATTACATAACGAGGGCAAGTTTAATAAAAAAATCGAAGAAGACATTCGAATTGCTTGCTAAGCGTTTCTTTAAAATATGATAAAAATTGCCACATTCGTTCGCTCACACCAACGGTTACCGTTCTCACAGTGTCTCCCAAGTTCAACAACAATCAATCTAATCACTTATGCCTGAGTAATTGTGAAAGCCATAAAAGGACCCGAATCGAAAAGGTTTCCATCTCTTGACATTCGACAATCTTTAATAGGATTTACGAAAATTGACCGAAGCAAATTTTTCATACAAATCATTCAGCCAACCAAGTTTAAGTTGATTTTTTCCCAAGACTTTTCACAAAGAAATTCTATCGAGATTTTTAATAACGGTGGAAAATAGAGCAGACAAGCACACCTGCGCCCATGAGAGGGTGCGAATGCTTGAAAATCTTTAGTCGAGGCAGCAGCTGAATAAGAACTCATTGATTTCGATAAGCGCGTTCGTCGCTTCACTTTGTTACTTTAGTCTTTTCAGTACTTCCTTAGCGAATGTACAGTACAACTCACTATATTTGTTCTCGTTTTAACTAACAAATGAACTCTGTGTGAAGCTAAACCTAACTCACAATTAATTATACGGCAACTAACACGCGACGACTAGGAATATAATAAACTTGGTTCAAGTGCACGAGCACTTACACTGAAATGTTTAACACTGACGTGTTTATGTTATAGCAGAAATCGAATTCATAATATATACCATCGTCTAAAATCGCATTTAGTCGTGACATTTATGCTAAATCTGAGATTATAATAGGATTCTTATAATTAAATATCAGAGCGAATAAGGAATGATCCTCATCTTCAGGAAAGCCCATTGTGAGACAGATATAAATAAATAACCTGTGACTTTGAAGATGACAAATTGTTTTTATTATTGCATTTGTCTCTGAAAAGAGGTCAAGTATCAGAATTCAGAGGCGAACTCATTTCCTTGGCTTTCACATAAAGGTTACAGACGAATCCGCTTAAGAAAAGAAAGCAGTCGGAAATAACAATTTTGTAAGAAACAAACAAAATGTTAGAACGCGAATCGCTGTTGGAGAAGCCCGAGATAAATGGAGACAGGGAGGGGAGATAAAAATGATGGCGGATGCTCCGTGAATGGAAGAAAATTAGGAAATTCACCGCGCCGCTTTTTCAGGCGGGAGCTGTTTAAATTATCCATATTATCCATGTATAAATGAAATTCTACTCATACGTCTTGAATTTATAATAAAGAACGCGGTCGAATTTTTGTGGATGTAAGGAAGTAGGTAGATTTCAGGACTCTTACACGACACAAGAATAAAACAAATGTACCTATACATCTTCTATTATCTGCTTGTAATTGTGATTCTTGGTAAGCTTCTATAGAAATATTTCCTAACCTTTATTTGTTAAAGTGTGTCATTATATTACTGAGTATAAATAATATTAAAAAGAACTCTTAGTAGAACAGCACAATTTATGTAGCTAGTACTTCATTCTAAGGAATTCAAACTAAAATAATAACACGACATATAATGCTTTCAGAAGCCCTCTCTCGCCCACATAATTCGGGACGCGCTCTGCTAAAGTCTCGGAGACAAAGCAATTTTGTTGGCTCGAGACACCGACGTAGTTGGCATGTCACTCGCACTGTACCTACACATGTGGATCCCGAACTAAAGATAAGCTTTGAAGAAGAACTGACGCGTTTAATACTTAGTTGACAATTCTATATATACAGTTTTGAAAAAGATGATAATAAAAAGCAGAAGTATCGATATTGTAACGAAAAGCTGTACTTTTTTCAGTCAATTCACATGAGACATATTTTCAGTAAACTTTTGCTGCTGATGCTTTAATATAGATTCCGTTTTACATAATTTAAATGTCTTGTTCATTCAGTTCATGAAAGTACAGTATTTAAGTACTCATGTAAATATTACGTTTTTAGCCTTCAAGTCTCTGATTATTAAAAATATTAAAGTCAAAGTCAAAATCATTTATTCCAACTAAACCATAAATTGGTACTTTTGAAACGTCAAAATAGAAAAGTAGTCTGTCAGTCTGTTCGTCAGTGAAGCTAGGTGCTCATTCCAAATTGTAGATTCGAATGGAGAAGATCGAGCAAGAAACTCCATCCATAAATTTTTGGAAAAGGCTTTCGCCGTTTGAAAGATGTTAACGAAGGCTGAATCCTTCTTCCACTACACCAATCCCTCCTTCATCCCTAAATTTCTTAACCCTTAATCTCCAAATGCACTCGTAACTCTTTCGGTATTGGTATTCATATCAATACTATTATGTCCTGATATTTTTTTTTTTTACTTGCAATAAACCAGTGCTTGATTGCGATCCCACCTGATGTTAAGCAGTGATGCAATCGTTGATGGTAAGGCGCACTAGTTTATTAAGAGCCTATTCACTCTAGTCTTGAAGACACCTAAATTGTATTCGGACGGAAAGACTGCAGCCGGCAAACTGTTCCAATCCCGTGATGCATCCTGTAGAAAACCGCAAGGCTGGCTACTCTGCGCCTGTGCTCGAGACTTTGAATATTGGACCCAACCAAATCTGGATCTCCAATCAGCCTCTTTGCACGCCTTTCCACCGAATCCAAAGCCGCTAGGTGGCATTTCGCAGCACCAGCCCATATGTGGCTGCAGTACTCCACACACGATCGGACCTGAGCTTAATACAACATTAGAAGCTGACTCGGTGTGAAGTACCGTCGGACTTTTGCAAGAACGCCGAGTTTTCTAGCAGCTACCTTGGCTCTGGACTCAATGAACCGCCCAAAGTTAAGGTCTGAAGCAATGTTCATTCCCAAGAGCTGAAGGCGGTCGGTGCACTCCAGGGATACATCCCGAAAAGCAGGAGCCAAGGTGAACGGGCTCCTTTTGGCGGTGAATAATACAAATCAAACTCACTCTTATAATTATGCAATTACTGTACAATTTATTTGATTGATATTACTACATAGTCAGTTTAAATAGAAATAAGACGAAATACCTGATTTACTACTAAAATCTAATTCAACGAAGTAAAAAGACTTCATTCCTCGTATTAGAGAAAAAAACTAAAAGTAGAAATTAAGTTTTTCTTTAGGTACTTAAGTATAAATAAACATTGAAAAAAGAATGTCCGCGACCCACATAATACTCATATACGTACACATTGGAAATTACTAGTAATAAGTTACCGTAAAGTTAAGCTTGTAATATTAATTTTCAAATGTAATCCAGGTTTTCAATTCATTAATTTTATTGACTGGGCTTTCACGAAGTTATGGCCTTGTAAAAACTATAAATTTAATCAAATTGAAAAGCTTTTTAAGCACCCGATTAAGTGGATCGGTAACGATATAAATTATGTAATAATTTTATGAATGGCTTCACATACCTTGTGTTTCGCACGCAATACAGATAACTAATTAAGATATATAGAGTTCGTGTGAGCCATACATTCTTGTTTACTACAAATTTGTATAGCCAAAATGTATTGTTTATGTAACCTAATATAGAAATACAACCAACGTTTTATCACAATCTTAAAAAGCAAAAAAGTGTTGCAATTCTATTTTACCTGAAATATTTTTGAATTAATTATTTAATACGTAACCAGAAATCAAAGTCAAAATATTTTTTTTTTATTTCTATTAAACCATAGACAGGTTATAGATGCTCGAATGTGGGATGAATAAATCAGTCCAGTTAAAATGTAAATCCAAGCCAAATTATATAGGTGCCTTCGTTTATTCAAATAGTCAAATTTTTAATACATTCTATTTGACATGTTGTTTTGCAGTTATTCAAAATAAATGTAATTATTATAATAATAAATTACACTACATTTTAGCACATCGTAAATTCTAAGTTAAATTAAAATATTTAATTACAATAATAATATGCATTGCAGCAATTGTTTTATATTATATGCCTATCTGATGCCACGTATGTGAACACTGAAGTTTTATGCCTAAAATTAAATTACGAATGTACCTAGGTATGTATTTACTAAAATGGAGCACGTTAAATAAATATGGCGTCGATATGTTATTCTTTATTTAAATGTTAAAGTTTGTCCGTTCTCTATGTTTTTTATTTTATTTTTGAAAAGGTTTATTTATTTTCGTCTTTAAATAAATATATTTTATTTATACAGTGTTGTTAGGTATACATAATACTACGAATTGGTACGTAAATGTTTTTATAAAAATAGGTATAACATAAATGGACTAGTTTTTTTATAGTCAGATGTTTTCTTTACCTTGTTTGTGTAAAATGAAAATTAAGGTTATGTTTTATTTAGATTAAGAAATCGTTTGATTGCTTGTGTTTTTATAGTTGTCAATTGAGTACCTACTAGAATAAGTTATATTTATATTCGAATGAATGAAATCAGTTACAAGAATATTTATAACACAACCACGGCAAAGTACTCAATCGAATTTTATAAACAATATAATTTTAGTTTAAATGTGATTGCGTTCTTTAATAATGGGAATCTTGACAACGGAATAGAGTTTAGTCTTAATTTGGGTAATTGTGAACTATAAATACAAACATAATCAATATACCACGGCCTCACAGAAAACCACAGCGTTGTGTTTCGCCGTGTGAGCGAGGTTACCAGAGGCAAAATCTTTCCCCTCCCCATTCCCTCCTCAACCCAAAATCTCCAAATCCCTAATCCCCAAAAGGATCCCCAAAATCCTCCGTTGTTACGAGTGTCCATGGACCATTGTCCATTTACCGATCTATCACATAAAAAATATATAAAAAATAATACCTAGCTGGCGAAATAAACATCTACCTACTCAAGATTCACTGGCCTTACTCTTCATAGAAGGCAAGTTTGTTCATCAAAAGCTTTTACTTACATTAAACGCTGTCTATTTATGGAGCCTTGAAATAAACTGTAATTATGGCATAGTAGGAAATTATACGAACAATGATGGAGTAATCCCCTAGCACCAGTAACACATGTCTGATGTTAGTGCGGGGTTGGGTTATGCTAAGTCAACCGTACACTTTTCTGATGTGTGTTTGTGAAGTTCTGCAAATTGTATTTCAAATGTTATGTATAAACTAACTATACCTACATATCATAAGCACGAAAGGACTTAGGTACGTATCTGTTTTAGCCTCTACCAGCAAAGCTGCTGGCCCGCGTGGTATGTTAATAAAGAACATTATATTAATATTATAATCTTAAAGAGTTTATGTGTTAATCCAGGGTATCACCTATCTACATAAGAAATTTCAACTGAATCGATGTATCCGTTTTTGCGTGAAAGAACAAAAAACATACATAGATACGTTCTCACGCGGTTTCATATTTATAATATTAGTAGGATAAAATATAATATATTTGTGTATGTATAAGCAATTCTTGTAAAGAGATCTGTGTATGACTTTGGAAAGCCCTCGGAAACGGCACGAACGATTTTCATATCCTTTTTTCTCCGTACAGGACTAATAATCGATCTAGCTAAGTATTCATTTTCAGAAAAAAAAAACAGAAGCAAGGCCGGGTCATACACTTTAATTAATTTTATAAAACATAAGAGATTTAGTTTATGTGATCATGCTAATCTCCGAAACAACTGGTTTGTATCGAATCAGTAGAACCAATGGAGAAAATTAAAATTTATTTTGGCAATTTATCTGTAAAGACGTGCGATGGCGTGTGAAGAAGGCGAGACCGTGGCAGCAGCTCGTCTAAAATCATCGGCTGTACATTTACTATACTGTTTACCCATAAAGGCATTTAAGTATTTCAAATTACCCGATTGATGAATAGTTTATTAACTTCCCAACTTTACGACCTAATTGAGAATAAATACCGCAATAATCAGTGTCGTGCAATGATTCCCATTCTCCAATATCTAACATTTCTTAATGTTTTTTTAAGAAATAATCTTATATTACACCTTTGTTTATCCAAAGAAAAAATAAAATAATCTGCAAACTACGTAGATAATTTAGATATTTACCTTAACCGAATTAAACAGAGGATCACACAAACCTTATTTATTACTACGTTACGTTACGAAATTAACACTTACAAATATTGAATATGAACTAAATACGCAGAAAAGGTCAAATAGTTACGTGCAATCTGGCTACCTGATGCCTGCCGGCCACAGATAATATGAAAAAAATTGTTATGAATTAAAGTTCTCACTAACCTTCTGGAGCTGGAGGCCTCGGTTGATAATGTAAATCTGTAACAAATGAAAATAATTTTTAGTATAACATAATGATTTATAAGCGGTAATATTCGTATAGAAAAATGTACCTAAAATAAAATAATTTGAAGATAAAAATTTCCCAAGACTAAGGTCTTTGGGGAAAGTCATACAGCTTAATATTTTAAGTCGTTCCAACTAATCGTGTTCACATAATTTCAGATCTATCGCCTAAAGATATCTGTTTAAAACCATTCGTTGCTAGATTCCATTACAAAAAATATATATTATCTGAAATACATTACAAGTCGAAAAAAGGCTAGTAAAAGAAAAGAAATGTTAAAAACTATCGTGAAAATGAGGATAAATTCCTGTTTTATTTATTTGTGTCCATATTCGTTTGTGTACGTAATTGTACAATGCTGCGTATTGTTTCATCGAGAAGAAATTTTCCATAACACAATAAACAAAAAACTGCATACACAAAGAAAAATAATATCTTTATGATTATGCATTACAATAGATATCTACGTGCGAAGCTGAAACCAGGTCACTAATTTAAATTAAACGACAATGAACTGTATTTTACCGTAAATACAGCGTGTTCATGACAAAATCCCATTGCAACGAACATCCATTAGAAGCGTTTAACCGCTCATAACTGCCGAACTATGCAACCATTTTGTTTACAAAACCAAATAACGTAATTTGTAAAACCGAGCCATTACCAAACCGCAACAAGGTTAACATAGCACTGGGCACTATGTTTAATTTATCTGACGAATTAAAATAAATAGATTATTATGATTTAGCTGATAATTACAAAATACACCCTATACATACCATTTATCATGAAAGCATTTCAAATATTCACAATGTTTGTGTATCGAACAAAAAATATTTTGGCTATTCCAGTTTTGATTCCGAAAATTGTATCAATGTTCAAAATTATTTATCTGTACAGCTAAACCATCAGTTATAAACAATAAACTACTTTAAAATAGCTTAACGAACCTATTTCCCGAATCCTAATCGCAGACTCCATCCAAAGGTGGTCTCTAAAAAACGCATTTAGCGGTAAGACCGCCCATTGTACATTGTATCTCATTTTTTTTCTTTTTATATTGTTACGTGCCTGACGTCACGTTCCTGACTATGCGGGCTTGGGTTACGGGATTGGGTGAAATGAAACACTAATACCGGTTTTCAAACTTTCTATTGCACTTAACAGCAGAGTCCGGCCGACTGACACAACTTTGCCGTTCACGCTGACTTAACTCACTTAACTGACTGCACTTCACTATTTCACTGCACTTCACTATTTCACTCACTTTTCTTCTTTTTCACTTCTTTCTTTTCTTCCGAATCGCTTTAGACTTAGAACTCAACTGCCAGCGGTGAGCCGCAGTTCCGCTTATATACCCCCGGTCAGGTTCTGGAACATTCAATTTCGTTATTCTTTTTGATCGTCATGCCTCCAGAACCTTCCAATAATTTCGTTATTCATTTTTATTTATTCTCCTTCTCGCTCTTTAATTTTTCATTTCTTTTACACAAATAATTCCAGAAAGTTCGACAAAACTTCCATCAACTAAAAAACTTCATGTTTACGGCGGGACTCGAACTCGGGGTCTCTGTGGTGTAATCCACACGCCTTGCCGATTACACCAACTCGTGTTGACAATTCACGACGAAATTTACAATCTCTAGGCAACGTTTGACAACCATCCATTGACGTCATGATGTCAAAGAGTTTGAACCACTTTTCCGTCACACTGCCCCCCTCTTAGATTCGCTCGTCCCGAGCATCGTTGCTGCCGTAGTACTTCGCCAACCTGTCTATATGGACAACTTTCAAAGGGCTCCTTGAAGTCTTCCGAATTCTGTAAGTAATGTCATTGATCTTCGTGACTATCTCATAAGGACCTTCCCAACTCGGTTGCAGCTTCGGAGATTTTCCCTTCCTTCTGACTGGATTATGAAGCCAGACCAATGACCCCTCTTCAAACCCAACAGAATTGGCTCGTCGATCATAGCGCGTCTTTGCGCGATCACTAGCTTGAAGACCGGCCTCCCTGATCTGCTCATAAATGTCCAACATTTTTGTCCTTAACTCGCTTATGTAATCGCTAAACTCGGTGCGAGAGTCACCAGGTGGACAGCCCGATACAAGATCTGCCGGTAATCTCAATTCCCTTCCAAAATTTGCAAATGCAGGCGTCTTTGCGGTACTTTCATGTACAGCAGTCCGATAGGCAAGCAAGAAGAGAGGTATGTAAGTGTCCCAATCTCTCTGATGGCTGTCAACCACCTTTGCTAAGTGTCGCTCCAATGTTTGGTTGAAGCGTTCGACCATGCCATCTGACTGTGGATGATAAGGGGTCGTTCGAGTCTTATGGATTCCCAAAAGTTTACAAGTTTCCTGAAAAACTTGGGATTCAAAGTTCCGTCCTTGATCACTGTGCATCTCCAAGGGCACTCCGAATCGGGTGAATACCTCGTTTACCAACTTCGTGGCTACCGTTACTGCCTCTTGATTCGGTATGGCAAAGACCTCCGGCCATTTTGTAAAATAATCCATAACCACTAAAACGTAGCGATTGCCCGAATCAGTGATTGGAAATGGTCCAGCGATGTCTAAGGCTATTCTCTCCCAAGGCATACCAACATTGTAGATTTTCATCGCCCCTCTGCTTCTTGTTTGTGGACCCTTGACAGCTGCACAACTAGTGCATTTCCGGCACCAATCTTCGACGTCATATTTGCAATGCAACCAATAAAACCTCTCCTTGATCTTCACCAAAGTCCTCCTAATTCCCAAATGTCCTCCAGAAGATCCATCATGGAACGCTTTTAATACATCCCTTATTTTTGAACGAGGCACCACCAATTGCAAATGCTCATCCTTGCCGTTTGTTGATTCCCATTTCCTGCACAGAAGTCCGTTATGCAGCGTAAGGCTTTTCCACTGTGCCCATAAACCTTTCGTTACCGCGCTATATTGGGCGACGTCACTCCAACTTGGCTTGTTACCACTTCGTAGCCACTCCAGTATTGGTTTAATATCTGCATCTCTTTCCTGTTCTAATTTCATCGCATCATCTCCCCATGCCTCGTCAACAGTATCAGTCCTTATCACCTTAAGAAAAGCAGTTTCCTTCTTGGCACAATGCTTGCAATCTTCCACGCATGGGCGTCTCGATAATGCATCTGCGTTGCCATGAATTCTTCCGCCGCGATGTTCGATTTCAAAGTCAAATTCCTGAAGTTGTTCCAACCATCTGGCTACTTGGCCTTCGGGATCCTTAAACTGAAGCAGCCATTTCAAAGCAGCGTGATCAGTTCTGATCAAAAATTTCCGTCCCAGTAAATACTTCTTGAAATGGTGCAGAGTTTTGACTACGGCCAGCAATTCCCTCCTGGTCACGCAATAATTCCTCTCCGGCTTGGATAGTGACTTGCTGAAGTAAGCAATAACCTTCTCCTGCTCACCATCGCGTTGTGAAAGGACACCTCCTATTCCAATATTGCTGGCATCCGTATCAACTACGAATATTCCTTTCGCACTGGGGTATCCGAGAATTGGTGTGTTACAAAGCCGTTCTTTTAGTTCTCGAAAGGCTTGCTCACAATCCTCGCCCCAGATAAAGGCACGTTTCTCCTCTGTCAATCGATGCAATGGCTTGGCAATGTCCGAGAATCCTTTCACAAACCGCCGATAATACGAGCACAATCCAAGAAATGCCCGAACTTGCGTTTTGTCTTTAGGTGTTGGCCATTCCTTAACAGCGGCAGTCTTGGCTGGATCAGTCTCAATTCCTCTCTCAGAAATAACATGTCCTAGATAATTCACTTCGCGCTTGAAGAAAGAGCATTTCTTTGGACTCAACTTTAAATTTGCTCCACGCAGCTTGTCGAGTACCTTTTCCAATTTCCTTAGATGATCGTCAAAATCCCGTCCAACAATGATGATGTCATCGAGGTAAACTAGGCAGGTTTCGCCCAGCAGTCCCGCCAGCACCTGTTCCATCAAACGCTCAAAGGTTGCCGGTGCATTGCATAATCCAAATGGCATCACCTTAAATTGCCAGAGTCCCTTCCCAGTTGAGAATGCGGTCTTTTCCTTGTCCTTGGGATCCAAATCCACCTGCCAATAGCCGCTTTTCAGATCGAGCGTTGAAAACCATTTCATGCCACTCAGTGTGTCAAGTGTGTCATCGATTCTTGGTAACGGGTAGCTATCCTTCTTGGTTACATCATTCAATCGTCGATAATCTATGCAAAACCTCGTTGAACCATCTTTCTTCTTGACAAGCACGACAGGTGAACACCAAGGGCTAGAAGAGGGCTCTATCACGTCATTTTTCCTCATATCGTCAATCATTTCTTCAACCTCTTTCTCACGAGCGAATGGTATACGTCTGGGCCTTTGACGAATTGGCATTGTATCACCTGTGTTTATTTTATGCTTCACCAAACCAGTTCGGCCAATATCACCATCGCTTCTTGAAAACACATCAGAGAATCGAAGAAGTAAATTTCTAGCTTTCATAGTCTCCACTTTTGTCAGACTTTTGTTTTCGTCTAAGATTTTCGTTACAAAGTCTATTCCCGTATTGTCCTTCTTCACAAGATTCTCCGAGCATTTTCTTATCCAGGCCACTTCTTCCAATACGCCCACAGGCTCTCCTTCTTCAATCGTAATTTTTGAATCACTGAAGTTGAATACCGGAATGCGGTTGACATCAGATGACCCCACGACAGTTCTTGCCGGTAGCCATGAGCTTACGTGTTCCGATTTATCAATCACAGCGCACCTTCGAGGTAAACTTCCTTCCTTCCTCCTAGGTAATGCGATTGGTACGAGAGTCTGTGATTTTGGTGCAAGAACAGTTCTTCTTAAACAGCAAACTTTTCCCAGGGTTCCACCCTTCATCGGAATTTCCTCAGTTCCACATAGTAAAACTCCAGATTTTAAGTCGATGTTACACTGGTGCCCTCGCAGGAAGTCAAGTCCCAGGATGCAGTCATCCAGAATTTCGGCCACAATAACCTCATGTCGATAAACACGTTCCCCAATTTTGATCGTTACCTGCAGTTTTCCACATAACGGTATGCACTGGCCGGTAGCTGATTTCATTCGTAGGCCGACAATTGGTTTAAGGTGTTTCCTGATGTTTTGCCCGAGCAGCCGAACATTTATCACCGTCCTTGAAGCTCCAGTATCTAATGTTAGTTGACTGTTTTTCCCATTTACTTGACCGTCTATCACCAGAGTATTTCCATCGTTAGTTTGCTTGATGTAGATTGTTGGGGTTGTTCCACTACCGGCCAGCGCCCACCCCGCAGCCCTGGCTGGATTTAGTTTCCCTGCTGGTCAGAAGTTGAGACCGCCGCGTCCTGGCGGTTCACCTTCTTCGGGCAGTTACTACGCATGTGCCCACGCTCTCCGCATCCATAGCACATGAAGTTCCGACGGCGTGGAGGTACCTGCTCCGTTGTCGTCATTTCCCGCAGACGTAAGGTACGGGAGTTACCACGCACGGCTTCCACTTCCAATGCATGGGCCAGAGCTTCTTTCATGTTCTTGTGATGGCCCAGATGAACAGCAGCTCGTACTTCGGGGTCCCGAACACCGTCAATGAATGCTTGGAGAAGCGTGCCTTCAATCATTGACGGAGTCGACCGGAAAGCTCGACGCACAAGTTTCTCGATTTCCACGGACCATTGCTGTAGACTCTCATTAGCACGCTGAGTACGCTCTTTTAATTGCGCTCTGTACACGTGCTCGAGGTGGCTGTCTCCAAAACGTGCCTCAAGTGCGTCGAGGAGGGCACTAAAGCTGAGATCCCCACTTGCGCCGATAGCTTCCAGCACTGAGAGCGCTTGATCACGGAGGGCCAGGGTGAGGGCTGACTGTGCTTCCTTCTGAGTCCAACCATAAGCCTCCATAAGTGTCTCAAACTGTAGCTTGAACGCGGTCCAGGATGTTGTTCCGTCGTAATGGGGAATCTTGAGCCCTTTCGTTGCGCTTGAGGCCACATTTGGGGTGTCAAAAACGGCTGCAAGACGGCTTCGGCTCTTCAAAGGGCTTGGGCTTGTCACTTCCTGCTTGATTTTGGCGATCTCTTCTTCCACTCTCTCCTCTATCGCCATGACGCGATGTTCCAACTTGCCTAACCCTTCCTCTACTTCTTGTACCCGTTCGACAGCCTTTTGCAGTCCCTTCGTGAAATCCTTATGCATCTCTTCCAAGCGACGCGCTTGCTCCTCTTGGCGGCGAGCTTGATCCTCTTGGCGACGAGCTTGATCTTCTTTCAGCTCCCGCAGCTGTTCTGCCTGACAGCGCGCTTGCTCTTCTTGGCGGCGCGCTTGCTCTTCTTGGCGGCGCGCTTCCTCTTCTTGGCGGCGCGCTTGCTCTGCCATCATTTGCTGCAGCTGTAGCAGAAGATCCACCTGCACAGGCTTGGCTTCTGCATCGCTGGTTTGAGCTGCAGCACCCTCTTCCCTCACACGCTGCGCTTCTGACATTGAACGGGTACTCACTCCTCTTACGTCCTGCGGTACTAGCGGCATTTTTCTCCAATCCCACTTCTGACACCAAATGTTACGTGCCTGACGTCACGTTCCTGACTATGCGGGCTTGGGTTACGGGATTGGGTGAAATGAAACACTAATACCGGTTTTCAAACTTTCTATTGCACTTAACAGCAGAGTCCGGCCGACTGACACAACTTTGCCGTTCACGCTGACTTAACTCACTTAACTGACTGCACTTCACTATTTCACTGCACTTCACTATTTCACTCACTTTTCTTCTTTTTCACTTCTTTCTTTTCTTCCGAATCGCTTTAGACTTAGAACTCAACTGCCAGCGGTGAGCCGCAGTTCCGCTTATATACCCCCGGTCAGGTTCTGGAACATTCAATTTCGTTATTCTTTTTGATCGTCATGCCTCCAGAACCTTCCAATAATTTCGTTATTCATTTTTATTTATTCTCCTTCTCGCTCTTTAATTTTTCATTTCTTTTACACAAATAATTCCAGAAAGTTCGACAAAACTTCCATCAACTAAAAAACTTCATGTTTACGGCGGGACTCGAACTCGGGGTCTCTGTGGTGTAATCCACACGCCTTGCCGATTACACCAACTCGTGTTGACAATTCACGACGAAATTTACAATCTCTAGGCAACGTTTGACAACCATCCATTGACGTCATGATGTCAAAGAGTTTGAACCACTTTTCCGTCACAATATTTTGGTGGTGTACAATAAAGAGTAAAAAAATAAACAGTCCACAATAAACTTTCAATAAAAATGTTTACTAAAAACATGCCTTTGTTTTGGGTATGTAATATTTAAATAACAATTTAGTTATAATATAAATAAAAACTGTACTCGTAACAATACAAGTAAGAATTACATAATCATGTTGGAATCTTATTTCATAGCGTTTTTCAACTATATGATTTCAGAATGTACTGTATTAAAGAATTTTCCCTACAAACAGCGCTATATAAAGAATTTTATTACACACAGACATCAAGAAGTGTATCGAGTTTCTACCCGGTGAAAATGTTAACCAAACTTTGCTTATATTTATATGCAAAGCACATCTACGGCAGTCTGCATAGCGAAGCTAGAATTTAAATATTTATTTTTCAAAATTACATAAATAATTTCTTTACAACTGACATTAAAACGTGGATTAACATAGCCTTATGTTAATTTTTCCTTTTTTTATGTGATAGGACGGCAAACGAGCCGTCGGATTGCTTGATGGTAAGCTGATGAAGGAGAGGCCTTATGCCTTCTGCCTCGAATCTCGCGGGCAGCGGCGCGGCAGCGGGATGGGCGCGGGCAGCGAACGGTGTACTTTCACCACACATCACAATAAAGCGAGCGTTAGGAATAAATTTAAATCAAAAAGATGTTGCCGCCATTGTTCAGACATTTCGTTAGCGAATAAATAAAAGCAAATATGTTGACGAAACAATAATGAACAATACACTAAGCGGACACGCGATCCGCCCGCTAGTTTCGAGAACGGGTCTATGATGCCCGTTCCGATTCTGCGCCGCCGCCGCTGCCACCCCGCAACCCGCAAGATTCGAGACAGCGGACTAAGCGTCGCCCATGGATACCCGCAACAACGAAGTAGTAACGAATTGCCGTCCTTTGAGGTATAGGGTTTCAAGACTTAGGATTTTTATCGGTGGGCCTCCAGTAACCTCACTCACACGGCGAAGCTCAACGCTGTGGATGTTACACGCCGGTTTTCTGTCAGTCCCAAATTTAACACCAGGTAATCTTTAAAATATTGAATTCTTAAACTAAATTAGTCTAAAAACGGCTTTGCTACATATTCGGGATGCTTCAGGCTTGATATCAAACACTGAGAATTTAAAATATTGGTCACCTCATCATAATTATTATTCCAATATTTAATTGCTAAATGCTGCTTTATTTTTTGCAAAAGATCTGATATAAAAATAGATTACCTACGCGACGAAAATAAATGTATATCTAATGAATAAAATTTAGGACTGTGACATTTGTGATAGGTGTCGTAACAAATGAAATAATATAAATATAGCCTGAACAAGAATTACAGATCTTGATATAATATTATTGAAATTATTAGCCAAAAATACCTACGCGTTTCAATGAATCAAATATCGTAATCAATACTTGTCAAAGTTGGTACGAAATTGGGTAATAGGTGCGTCATTTGAATAAAATAAGAACATTGTTTTAATTATTTGCCCTAAACCCAAAGGGCAGTAATCTTAAAGTACAAGCAATAAAAGAAATCCTTATTTACACAGATCCTGAACATTGGATCGCTTCACAGAGGACGAAAAACCCATCGTTTTTATTTTTATGTACTTTCACCGTCACATTCGCTTTGGTGTCCACAAAAATGTACCTACTGCTACTTTGAAATCCAATTCAAAACGGAAACCGGCAGTTATAGGGGTTTACTTTGCTTTTATTGATTTTACACGGCTTTGTTCAACAGTTCAGCAATATTTAGAAACGGTTTTTGTAAAACATCTATAAAGTTGTTTAATGTACTCAATTTAGTACGTACACAAATTAAAAATAAAAGAACACTTAATGTATCAAAAAGCTACGAGTACCGTGACAGTACAAATATACTCGGGAAATTGGATTTCAAAGGGATTGCTCGGCAAACATGACGACGTCGTAACAGAATTTTCGGTGTTCAAGTCTTAGATAAGAGTCCTCAGCCTATCCTTGAAACTGTCCTCCGATATCCTACGATAAAACACAACAAGGTTCACAATAACAAGCAATTGTGTCGAGCAAAGGTATTAAAATAGCTAAGATTGTTTCTGAATTGCATTATTTTTCTTGTTGCTTTAATTTTTTGCACGTGTTCATAATTCCTAAATAAATATTTACAGAACATTTAGGTGACATATTAATTAAGTCTACGAAAGAGTCTCTCTATTGCCATAAACTAGAACCATTTTGTTAGTTAACATTTTATGATTTCAAAGTTTTCCAGCGAATGCAATCACATGAATGGCTGTAGTTTGAAAAGAACTAAAATAAAACAATTTTACAAATTTCTCTCACAATCCGTAATACGTGAAATGAGAAAATAGAAATTTAAACATAATAAATAACAATCTATAATAAACTATAACAATCAAGAGTCGGTCAAAAACAGGTCGTTGATATCGCAAATCCTTAGCTTACATTAAATATTATAAGCACTAAAATCTTAACGAGCAATAAGATTCAGCTTTTTACGATATCTATCAGAGATTTGTTTTAAGTTGTTTAAATATACAAAAGGCGGGAAAGTATTAATTAATACGCTACCGAGACGTCATTTATTAAGTAGGTACCTACGTTGTCATGAATATTAAAGGATAGAGGTTCATTAAAAGTTATTTTAATCCGATTTCCCTCCGTTGCATGTTAATTAGTTTATCTTGCTTTCTTCCTTCGGACTTGTAACGAGTACACGTCGCAAAAAATATCAAAAAGGTGGGCAAAAAGGAGAACCAAATGGATTCAAAGAGACGTACAGTCTTCTCGGATTAATTTCGCTTGAAGAGATGACGTAACATCGGTAATGTGACGTTAAAGTAGGCGACTAATGGTTCCGTAGTAGGATAAATATAAAATACAACAAGGGGCTGGCAGAACGCTCGGCCACAAGCCGGGGTGTGCTGGCGCGCCATATTGTTTTATTGCAAATTGGTTGGACGTAGACCGCGCCTGTCCTTTACATATACGAGGCTATTAAACTACCGCCGGTGTCCAGTCACGTGTTAAACGAATTCGATCGCTGCATACAATGTTAGGATGCCAGTGTTTGTGACGTGGAAGTGAACCTTAGAAGTCACCGCTTAACAAAACGCTGCTTTAATCCCGAACTAAATTAAATTGTTAGAAAACTTTTAGTCGCAATTGTTAAAGTCGGTCCTTACAAGGCGACGCCTCTTTTACTGTCTCGTTCTTCATTGTCGTTTAATGATCTCTCGAAGCAAAACTTCCATTGTAACTTGCGCTTCTAAATTGGCAGATCTTGAAACTACGGATATGTAACAATTAGCTCAAAAGACAGCTGCCTTAAAGTGCTATTTAAATAAGTAGCATACTTATTGATTCCGCTTTAATAAAACATATGTAATAACAAAACTAAGAAGATAATAAATATCTTAATGCTACCATAAGATAAGATTTCTGAGGACAGATCTGTAATAAAATACGCTTAGATAGTTTCGAATATCGTTCTCTAAAGATTCGCACGTAAACCTTTCAACAAGACCCAACATTACGAACTACTTTACCTTACCTATCGTACCGTTATCTACGGTACTGATTTTCATTGAACGACCGAGATAAAATGGCGTTTTGAGAAATAATATCGAAATACTTATATAGCTTGTAGAATACCGTTTAAGTGGAATATCAAATTATTCATTTTCTTATCCACATTTATCTAATTTGTGGTTTTTTTTTGTGAGGGGAAAATCAAATGATTTCTCCCGCCCAGGGCCGGGCAGGAGGGAGTGTCAGACTCTTACTGACTAAAAACCCCCCTGTTCCTTCTCCTGCTCTGGGTCGAGGTCGCGGTGCCTCATTGCGCTTACCTCGCAACCCCGGCTGAACATCAGCCCTATATAGGGCCCCTTCTGTGTGGGGTCTATTGGCTCTTTGAGGCGCGCGCGGAATGCTACGCGTCGTACTCTCGGGCCTGGTTCTGGTCGGGCGGTGAGGTGCCTTACTCGCCGTGGCCGGAGATCTAATTTGTGGTGGATTGTTAATTAATACTGCCTCAATTTTTTTCTGTGACTTAGTAGACTCGTCAAGTTTTGCCTAACTGCATATTACACGCCACTCCGTTTGATCTACATTTCTTTGACTAGTTTTCTTTTGACAATTAATAATTCATTATCATAATTTACATTGTATTGATAAATGCAATAATCCTAAGACATTACAAATAAACTTTTTTATGTGTAAAGTTTGCTCAGAAGTCACAAAATATTTTTCCTGATATAGAAAAATTTCACATGTAAGTTTTACAAT